CAGCTGCATGGTATTACCATCACGAGTACGTGAGCCGCCAGCGGCGACTGGTAGATGGCACCGCCATCGCGAGTGCGTGAGTCCCTGTCAGAAATTTGTTGCGCCGCCCTTGGGCGCAAAAAACGGTGAAAGCTCACGTACAAAACCAGAGGGCAGCACACGACGCGATCGCGCGACCCTGCCCGTGAGCAATCTCCCAACTCATCTCTGTTTTGTACACCGGTGGGATAAATGTGAATCTATAAGTACTGAAAATGACGAACGAGTTAACCGAAAATATTTTAGAGTATATCGATAAGAATGGCAGTGCTAATACTCTAGATTTAGCAGTCATTCTTAAACAAGACCATCAGAAAGTTGTAGGTGCTGTAAAAAGTTTGCAGTCAGTTCCAGATGTAAGACCAAACAACTTATTTACGCTAATGTGATCATTTTATTTGAATTTAATATATATTTGAGTAATATTTAAACAACTTTCTTCTTAACAGCTTATCAATGTTGAGCAAGTAACGGACAAAAAATGGGAACTTTTACCAGAAGGTCAACATGTTGCAACTTATGGAAGTCACGAAGCAGTGATTTACAATGCTGTTCCTGATGATGGGATACCATTGGATGAAATTAAGTCATCGATAAAATATGCAAATATAGGAATTTCTAAGGCACTGGCGGCTGGTTGGATTGTGATTCATGTCGTGGAAGATAAATCTATCGTTAGAAAAAAAGTATCTTCCATCTCGGATACTGTTCAAAATCATTTAAAAGATGTATCAAACATCCCAGATACAGTTAAAGCAGATTACAAAAAACGAAAATTACTTCACCAAATGTGAGTCATTAAGTAATATTCATTTTTTTCAATATCTAAATCTCTGATTAAAAAATATAATATTCTCTTTATTTTATACCAGAACTATAAAAAGTTTGAATTTAAGCAAAGGCGAAAACTTTGCAATAAAACTTGAGAAACAAGAAGCTGACTTAACAACAGATTTACTAGTAAATAATGCTTGGCGTGAAAAGAAATTTAAACCATATAATTTCAATGCTCTTGGTGCCATGCTGGACATCGGGCACCTTCATCCATTACTTAAAGTCCGGGCGGAATTTAGAAAAATATTTTTTGAAATGGGGTAATTCCTCTTTTTCGTTGTTAATTTTTCATAATACGCATAAAAAGAGAACTTAATTCCATCCATGTATGTTTATTACAGATTTTTAGAGATGCCAACAAATAATTTTGTTGAAAGTTCTTTTTGGAACTTTGATGCTCTTTTCCAACCTCAACAACATCCTGCTCGAGACGCTCATGATACCTTCTTTGTATCAGGTTCTTTATGAAATTGCAATTATTATGCCCAGTGACAAGGCAAAAGTAATTAAGAAAGTATCCTTCATCTAATTTTAGAGCCAAGAATTAGTACCAAATTTCCAGAAGAATATCTGAAAAGAGTTAAAAAGGTACATAGCAAAGGTGGGTATGGATCTCAAGGTTATCAGTATGATTGGAAAATTGAAGAAGCCCAGAAAAATCTGTTACGTACTCATACAACTGCTGTCAGTGCTAGGATGTTGTATAAGTTGATACAAGAGGTACATTTTATATTATATGGACTAGATTCTGTTGTACACTGCTCAAATGTGTTCATACAAGTATAGCAATAGTATTTGTCTTTCAGGGTGAATTTAAACCTGTACGATATTTCAGTATCGATCGTGTATTTAGAAATGAAACATTAGATGCTACACATCTTGCTGAATTCCACCAAGTGGAAGGTGTAGTTGCAGACTACAATCTAACATTAGGTGATTTGATTGGCACCTTGTACGAATTCTTTAAGAAACTCGGTATCACACAACTGGATTTTAAACCCGCCTATAATCCGTACACTGAGCCCAGTATGGAAATTTTCTGTTATCACAATGGTTTAAACAAATGGATTGAAATTGGAAACAGTGGCATGTTTAGGCCAGAAATGCTTCTGCCAATGGGTATTCCTGAAAACGTCCGTGTCATTGCATGGGGTTTATCTCTAGAAAGGTTTCTATAATTTTTTTGTGCCTTTTACATTTTTTAAGAAATAACTAAAGTAAATTTTATATTTCAGACCCACAATGATCAAATATGGCATTAACAATATAAGAGATTTGGTTGGACCTAAAGTAGATTTGCAGATGGTGCATGATAATCCAATATGTCGACTGGAAAAGTAAATATACATTTTAATTTATTGCAACATTTTGATACAAATAAATAGTTAGAGCATTGAATGTTTTATTTATCTTCCTCTCCAATTGCCATGAGGTAAACAGTATGAAATTCATATTGCATTATATAACAATAAAACATCTTTAACTTTACTTTAATCTTTAGCAAGTTCTCGAAATTTATAAAAGCTTCTACAAAACAGCATTTCAAAGCCGAAATGGAGTATTTCTTTTAAACTTCAGAAAGAACGCGTTTTCTTTAAAAAATGTTAAACTTATTACAGTCCTTTATTGTTGGAATCAACATCTAAGAAGCAATTACAAGAATTTCATCTACAAAGAGTTAAGAATGTATAATTAAAATTTTCTTAACATTTTTTAAAACACTGAAACATTTATTTCCTTGTTGGTAGAACTGGACCAAGGACTGCACCACTAAAAAAGAAGACAGAAGTGCTTGATCGACACATGAATGTTACATCCTCAAACCTAGTGAATGCGGGAAATGATCTTGATGACAATACTAAAGAGAGATGTACCAAATTGAGTTATGTTCAGATTGACCAACTTATCATATTTTGTAATCCAAAACGTCCGTTATATTCTTTAGAGACGTTGCTTCAATTGGCTAAGAAAGAATTCACAGTATCTGTCTCAATTCATGTCCATTCCTCGGTGGAAGAATATCCTTTACAGCTATCTGAATTTTGCTCTAATTTTCAGACATCTCAAGTAAATGTTGAAATCCCTATAGTTTTAATTTGGAGAGCAGATATTATCGATCCTGTAATGCAATGTTCAGATTTGCAAATTTTTGGAGAAGTTAATATAGCACGATATTTGAACCGCATAATAGAGTTGAAAAATCACAATTTATTAAGATATGAGAGCTGTGGTCCCATTTATGCTGCCCAAATTGACTCGACTTTAGAGAAAATACACAAAATATTGCATGGTGTTACTAAAGACACGTTACGTTGTATAAGTAGTAAATCAAAATCTAAATATGTGTTACGTGATAACATTTCTGTAGTCGATATTGTACTCAATTCTGTGCAAAAATATATTGATAAACTGTGAATATTGTAAAATAAAGATGAATCTTACATGTATTCAAGACATAATTCAATGATTTTTTTCTAGTTTATACACAATATTAGATTCACTTTTTTGTAGTAGTTTTCAGTAGCATATCTCTTCATACATTGAAAAAAAAAAATTGACACGTTATCAAGAATGTTTACAATAATGTTACATAAATTTCATCACAACTTTCAAAAGTATTTATAGGTTTTCCTGGAATATTTATACTAACACCTTTTATGTAAAATCTTAAATTTTAATAAATTAGGTAGATTTATATCATTCTAGTTCCTGCTTTATAGAAATGGGAAGACTGTGGAAAAGGGTCATTAATACATAACACAAATAGTTTATTTTTACAATGTACTTATAAAAATTTTGCTAGAACAAAACGTGTGAACCAAATACATCTGCTATAAACAATATGTACATACATAACTGCAGCGATTATCGATCGTTATTACTGTCGGAAAATACTCAGTTGTAGCTATAAATATAATCGTATATTACTACCCTACTATGTGGTACGTATGAAAAGTAGTATCTGCACTGTAAAGGAGTTCCTGCAATGTGTCAGATATGCATTTTACTTCATATTTTCATCAATTTTATTAACGTAAAAATCGGATATACTTGTATTCATAATCCTGAAAAGAAAAAGTAACAATCGGATAACATGTTAATCACAAACTTTTTGTTATAATTTTTCCTTTTGATATCCACATTGTGTAACTTATTTACAAGTTGCCAAACATATTTATTTAATACATTTGTTATGATTCCATGTACTTTACAACATTCTGTGAAATTCTGTGTTTTCCGTAAATCAAGACGAGTACACATCACCAGAAGCTCCTTAAAAGAATTACATAAATCGTCAATTACCTCGCGGAATTACATTCGTTTGTAAGAATAAGTTTATTGGATATCGTCTCTCTTAGTATTATCCGTCGCTAAGCTTTGGTTAACAACATTCTATTAACATACTGACATCATTTTTGTTCTCACAAACGTCACAATAAGAGGAAATTCTGAATTACCAATATATAGGTGTGTTTCACTTTGTTCGCACACGTATTTTGTTTAAACAGTAGATCAAATATATACCTACATATTTCTTTCATCTATTCTATGGTGTTGCCTCTCAAAATATGTTTACATTTACTTTATTATGTATCAGGTATCCTGTAAACAAAAACTTGTATCCACGTGTTTGGTGCGGTACATCGTCGCAAAAGAAAGTGTAGTGTGTTTTTTTGTAATTATCACATAATTATCTAGCAACGAAAAGAGCGATAAAGATTTTTCAAAAATGTCAATGTTAGTAAAATGAAGATTAGGATTTAAACTTTGTCTATTAGCGAAAATGAAGTGTATTAAAAATACAGAGGCAAAGCCGCCAAACTGGTCTGTGCGGACAGGTACGTTTCATCGCTGCACTAATTTATTTTCTTATCTACGAAAATCTGTAAGTCTATAAAGAGATCTATATAAATTGCTAGTTCTTTTTTTTTTTCGTTCAATACTAGATGAGATTTCATCACGGAGAATTCTTGTTTGAGGTCGTGAGCAAAACATGGATATGTGCAGCCTGTGTTTTCGGGTTTTACTTAAGTTGCATAGTTCCCTTCTCATATTTGGTAAGTCGTGGGAGAACAAAACCATGCTTTTCTACATTTTTCATGTATTGCATTTCACTAGCAACAAGTTTTTACGACGCTACATGTTAAGCAACTTTTTAGTCTCCGTTTTACATTCAGTGAAACACTCGCTTTTGTAACTAAAATTATTGTCTCGTGAATTATTATGAAATTAATCACAAATCTGTAATGGATGTACTAGGATTCATATTCTGTGATCTAAAATTATACAAATAGTGAAATGACTTACTTATGTGTAAATTTAATTCTCTTTAACCTGTTTTCTTGTTGAGTATACTACGTCAGAATGTAACACTTTGGAAATTACGATTTTTATAAAAGTGAATGAATAATGGTTTGAAGTACTTCTGGGATTCAAATTCAGAAGTGCAGACAATTCCGATAAACTTTGTAGTCATGAGCTATGTATCGAAATCAACTTCAGAAGTACGATAATTATGTAAAATTCTAAATATTTAATTATCAGAGACTTATGTTAATTGTATGAGTAATTTGAAGATAGTTTACATTAATATTTTCAGAACTTATAAAAATGCATGTCGTTATATCATATTTTTTGTAGTATACTCAAATATCAGTAAAATCACATAGTTTTTATAAATAAAGTGCTTAGTTTTTACTCGGAAAAAATCATAATGATTGGTTCAACACTGATAGATCCATTCGGTTTAAAAGAAGCTATACATAAAGTGGTTTGAAGAACGAACTAAATGCGAAAAGAAGTCTTAATGCAACCGTTTAAACAAAATTTCCAAAACATACAATTTTCTTTAACATATTTTTTTCATTATTCGATTTCCAAAGTCGGAAGACATTGCAATTTTTATTTTTCTAAATAAACTACGCAATCGCTTTTAACCAAGGTGCAATGCACTTAGTTATTATTTGATTGATGCGATTTAACCTATAAGATAGTTTTACACACGAGGTAAAGTAGGCATATTATTTGAAATAGAACTATTTATCAATGAAGAGAAATATATTCCCAATACCTTACTGTGGAAGTTTTTAAAATTGTAATTAGCGAGTCAGCCTAAAATGCTGATAAATGCAGCTATGTAACTACCTTTAAAAGCAATGTAATATACATACACATAATTATATTCTATACAAAGAGTACAGCACATGTGGTGTAAGTAAATATAATTTTTAAAATACATTAAACAAATTCAAGTCAAGTGAATGCCGGAATGTAGAAAAATGTGAACATGCCACCTAACAATTTCGTTCTTGACGTCTATAGTGGTAACAAATTAATTGGCGCCGATATTACTAGTACTTAACTTTTAAATATTTTCTAAAAATATTTCATCTTGTCTTTTATAATTTCTCTGTTAGATAAAATAGATTTATCCAGAAATCACAGAAAACAATTATTGACACAAGTCTTGTCCTGGAATGTTATTTTTTAATAAAAGACAATTACTTCGATTTTGAAAGTAGGGTAACGCATACTTTTCGATTTTTGGATAAGCTATCAAATTTTCACTGCAGAACATTTTGCGCATGACGAAAATTAACGATAATGCATAATATCCGTAAATATGGGATGTAAGGGAGTTTTACGAAACGGAAACAATTTATACCGGCACATTACAGATAAAACTTACACCACTCAACCTGGCATTTCACGAGTAGCAGAAACAAAACTACCTAATTACTAATTCATAATCATTGTTGTGCGAATTCATGCGCGTTAATCGGCCACAACAATGTGCTACTTATTTCTTAGCTGCTCATGAAAAAGTAGGTACATGCTGCTACAAAACTTGATATTCGTTCAAGTTGTTCAAATTTTAGTATAAAGCAGTAAGCAGTCAAATCTTACAAGCCATACATCGATTGAATTTCAAGTAATATAATACTTTCTTTTGATTTCTATATCATATGTACAGAATGAAATTTCTATATAGAACTTCAATAGTTTCTCGACAATTTTTATCCATATCTGGGTAGTTTCATATTCATAATTTCCATATTTTTGTAAATAACTTTGGTGTACAAAAACTTAAAATCTGAAAGTAGATAGAAAAAAGCGCTGAATACTTCAATTATCAATAACTTCTTTTTTTGAAACTGTAGAAAATACAATACTGTTATTACTTATTAGAGTACTGCAACTATGTGATTGCGACTTATTACGAATGACATAGCAGATATACGTAATCATATCTATTTGACGAACAAATTAGCTGAATATGAGAGTACTCAACCGTGACAAATCCAGATAAAAGGTTAGAAAGAAAATTAATATCCTGATTAAAACACATTTAAAAGTGTACTTAGAATATATAAAGTGTTGTGCCTCATTCTCAATATAATGTTTTCATGTTTTAACTTCGACCTGATCAGAACTTCCTATTCTGGTATTATTTTAACGTTTTCGTTTGTTAATTTAATGTTTCATCTTTTACAATAGTGTAGTATTTCAATTCTCCGTGAAACCCAGCACTCTTCATAATCACTATACTTTCACTAACAAATACAGATAATGCAAAAGAATACCATGTTTCATCAATGACATTTCTTGAGCCTTAAATCAGTTTCATGAGAAATCGTAATTATATCATTTATTTACATACTATGTGTGCTTAATAATTAAAAATGAGTTTTAGGCACTAAAATCAATTAAACGAAATTCAACACTATTATTTCTGCAAACAGAAAGTGGTTTTAGACAATCGCTTCAAATATGAATGAATTTAATGTGATTCACGTAAGGAAATAGAGATGTCAGCTTTATAATGAAAAATGATCTAGAACGTAACGAAGTAAAATGATCTGTGATGCCATTGATTTTTATACATCATTTTACGAGGATACCGTCAGCAGTTAATAACCGAGACACATTTTAAACTTTGTTTCCGTAAAAAGAAATTAATTATGATTTAGGCATAACCTTAACAAATAATAATAATTTATGCATTGCTGCAATCACGGTATAAATTTACACATAAGAAGCGTTTTTTGTAATTAAATTACTTCGAAATCCCCTAGTAACTAGCTTCATGTCCTGCAAGTATGTACAAATCCGCTCCTTCTGATTCCGTCAACGTGCCTGTGTGAACTAAGTGGCTCTCCAACATCACAACCCTACAGACGCAAATAATTGTTACACAAATGATTGTTAACTGAAATATAATGTTATACAATAAAACGATTACTTACTTATCTGAACCAAGTAATCGATACGTTCTACTTGGATCGCTAATCTCTTGTGTGATTTCGCTATTTTTAAAACTTCTTCCTTGCATGCCATGTTTATGAAATGCTAATACACTATCTGGTAAGCAAACTGACGAAAAGATTATAGATTAGTTTTAATAATCACTTTTAAGCATGAGTTTAATAAAGGTTTACTCACTGATAGACTCAATTTGGAAGTTGAAACGTATTTCTGACAACTCTTTCTTGCTGGATCGTGGTTTGCCTTGTAACGTCACCACTTTGACTACATCTACATAATACAAATATATGCGATATATAAAAGATGAGACAATTAGGACCAAGGCATCTTGAAAAAGACTTACTATCATAACATACGAGTATTGCATCTTTTTCGAGTTGTGTGACATTCACTACTTGAAGATTTTCTCTTCTTGGAATCACAGTGGCTGGTGAATTGGAAAAATGTGAACGACAACAAATTAGCGTAAGTATCATAAACGGATGCAAATAGTCTGATATTTCACAAATTAAATTGCAACTAAATTAGAAAATATATTATATTAAGCATTAACATAAATTATTTTCTCAATTCTTTGGTACTATATGACACTTTTAATAAGTACCTGAACCGTCCATATCTTCCAGCTCGTCACTATGAAACCAACTTGCACCCGAGTTCATATTAATTAAATCCAGTTTCAGTTTATTTTGTTGGTAGGTTTGTTTCACTGAAACGCACACCATGGGATATTCCATCTCTGGTGTAATAACCATTTCAAAGACATTTAATGGCGAAGGTAATATGCAGTCAAAATGTTTTAACAGCATAAATTTATTTAGTGGATCATACCACTGCATTAAAAATATTCCCGCTGGCACTGCACCACATAGATATTTATACCTGTGTTATTGAAACAAATTTCATTACATTCATGATACTTAAAATGTATAACAAAATATAATGAATGATAATTTATGTACTGCTCACCCATTATAAGGGTTTCTACCGACGCAACATTTCGTGCAGCCTTTTGTATCTGGCACTTTAGTGGTCAATGCAAATTTTCTAGGCACTAATCTCTCTGGTATTTTATTCATGTGTAAAGAAAACCTATGCGTTTGTTTACTCTGCATCGCTAACAGATCGTGCCTATACAACTGGGGTGTCTTTCCTACAAATTGAATATAATTACGTGCAATCGACTATGATTCCATGACTCCAATAGTATCATAGACAGCATATCAAATGTCAATGGGAATATAAATTATATTACCGGATAAAGACATGAGCACATCTTTAATAACGTACATCCAAATTGTACGTCTTGGATACAATTGATCGATTGCAGTCTCATGTAATTCGTTGAGGTTTAAATTATAAATTCCTTCTTCAGCTGCAATTAATAAATGTTGATCTCTCGTGTCAGGATGAATCCAACTTGCTGTACAGTGTATCCTCAAAGGACAACCATTAAATACCTATTTATCAATACGATAATAATGTAACAATGTCAATAAGTAAATGAAAAATTATAATATATCTAAAAATTCGGCTAAAGTTTAATATGGCGAATGTTGACGGGGTCACCAGTGTCAGCAACTACCGCACTGTAAGAACGTACTCGTCACTTGTTCCCGGCACTTCCAAAATATAGTTCATGATCACAATGTTCATTTAAATTCAACGGCAGAAACGTTGTTTCACATCTTTCTAAACATATTTCGATAACATTGTTTCATTTTGGTAATATTACTGACCTTTGAAAAGCATGCTCCCATATGAACCTTTGGCGTAGGAGGAAGTCCGTTACTAATGGGTCTTGGTGGTGTATGCCTTTTCCGATCCCTTCTCCTAGGAGGTACAGGAGGTGTGTCCGATAACAGATCAGGTCCAATTTCATTTCCTTCACCATTACCTGACGTCTCATTGTCACCTGAAAAAAAGAATTGCCCAACAATGACACAATATTTGAAAAGTACAATGTATAAACGGTTGAAGGTGAGTGTCGATGTGAACTAAGAATAACCGATGGTAAAAAGTTAAAGAAAGTAGCGTGCTGAAGGGAAGATGAACCTAGTGAGATGATGTTTAAATAGTGATGCTAAGTAAATGTAAATGTGTATGAATCTAAGTGATGATCACACACATTTTTCCTCAAAGAAGTTCGTTCTTTAGTTATTCCAGGGAGATACATGAAATTGGTAGTCACTTTTATCTGAATTATGAAATAGGACTATGTGATGAGATTTCGGCAAAACATGCACGCAATGCTTGTAACCTATTAGAGTTTATGGGCATGCCCTTAATTCAAGATGCGTGCTCCTACCATTAGTACGTGGGGTTTCATCTCTCGGCCCACTATCCGAGAGTGATCGTTGACGTTGTCCATTGACAGCTGCTAAGGAGAGGGAACCACTGACCAGGCCATACAACTCGTCCACAGAGCTGTGACGCCTGGGACTCGCTTGAGATCCTATACACCGAACCTACTTTATACACTACTGTAGGACCACACCAGAAAATATACAATCCGAATCCTTGACAGTGCATTAACTGTGCTTCTCCAAAGTGTGATACTATCCAATCAGATTCCTTTGTTCCAACGATTCTTACGTGTAGTTGTTTCTAGTAGTAAGCCGTTTGCAATAGTGTTACAGCAAGCGTATTTATATTTATAATGTGTATAAAATTAAATGAATCCTAAATCCTTGACGTTTTGTCAATTTATATTGTACAATTGAAAAATATTACTGTAAACTGGTTAGAAACAAACTAGGGTTGACCATAAGTTATATAAAAGTTTTGTGAGGGTGTACAAATTCTCACGGATATTTAAAGTACTAATGAAAATAAACACAACCTTTTTATGGAATACTACAGAAGTTAATAACATAATAGTAATGGCCCAGAGCAGATACTGATACCACTAATTTAATTAATGGGAAATTGACTAATTTCCATTTTTACAGCAAAAATAAACAACCAATTAGATAAACACCAAAAAACCGATTCAACAGCAATAACAATCAGGAACTTCTATAGTTAAGTACAAATTGAGATATAAATACAAGTATACGTACAATTGATACATATAATAATGAATTTACAAATGCCTGCATTTTGGTTACAGAGCACATTTTTTACTTGTATATAGAATAAATAAGTATACTCACCGGTAATATTAGCATAGAAGCCCCGGTGCACTTCACAATCATTCGATGATTCTCCAATCGGAAGAGTAGCTCTACGAATAAAAATTGTTAATGTAGTACTAATAAAATGTGGTACTGCTTATAAAAAAATGTATAAATTGTATAACAAACACAACTAAACAAGTGAAAGTTGAAATACAATTAAATCATTGCCTACATGATAGTTTACAAAGAAACTATGCAAAGTGCTAATTGTTTAAAATATATTGTAACTATTTTATGTCATTTAGCACAATGTATATAAAAAGGTGAAATAATATATTGTCAAATGTGTAGAATTTGTTAATTACTGCAATGGTCCAACTATCTACACAATTTTATTGCTGCAATGATGTACAGACATCCTTTTACGTGCAAAGTATCTTTCCTGGTTAAGACCACTTTACAGATAAACGGTACCTGACATCACATTGGAATCACAATTTCATAATTTTCATTTATATTAATTTCTTATGACATCAAAAGATACGTTGTTTATACAGAACGTTTAATGAATGCAAAGTAAATATTCTGTACATACTTAAAAATAACATTGTTACTTTACTTACTGCATGGAGTATAACCGGTCGCAATGTCCACTAACCATTGACACTGCATTTCCCCTAAACATAAAAAAATGTATAATATTTACTAGTCAACAGTTATTCCAGCATTTCATAAAATCCTTTAAAACAATGAATATCAACATTTCTGATACATTTCTGGTCATATAAGAAATCATTAGGTAACCAGAGATTTTTAAAATATTAGTTTATCATTAACTGACTAATTCCTTCATTCGACTGGTATAAAATATAAACAATTTATTATCCATCAGTATTACTCCTATTTTATTGATTGAATACCATACACATAGTTTAAGATTGGAGATTTAATGCGGAATGATCACAATGAAAAGTATTCCTGTCAATACTTTCATATATTAACTGCCTTTTATTAAACACATCTGTATTTTTTATATATTTCCACCACCAATATGATTAGCGCAAGGACCTCAAGACTGTGCACTATATTTGCATGCTTCAGCCAGAAAAAAATGTACAATTTTAGAGGAGCATTCAAGGGTACACTGAATATTTAAAATAATTAGAAAAACGTTTATAGAAAAAGTAAATCTCAATAAAGAGATTGATTCACGCAATTAATAGATCGTGCTCAATGTCTATTGATGCAACTATTTCTCACAATTTTTAAAATATGCAAACACGTTTTTTATTTCTACTACAAAAACTAACGTTTATCTTAAATCATCGCAATGCATAAATTACCATACACCGATACAATTTCATGTTAAGTACTGAAACCCAAAAACAAATTAGACATTTTTTAAACACGAGTGTTTGCAGGATTTGCAATGAATATGATGGATTTTGTAGTAGTCAGTAAAACGTACAGCATTAGAAAGCATAAGTGCAAGGTGCAAGGGAAAAGGTTACCTGCCAATACCTTAGCAACAACTCCTCATCAATGTACTGCAATAGACTCCTGTTGGGAGAAAGTATTAAAATTACAAACTGATCAGAAAATTAAGGATATATTAGAAAAAGTTAAAAGGTTTTTAAATCATAAAAGGAGAAAGAAACAAAACGTACTATTGTTCAAATCGACTGCAAATAAATTCTTAAATTAAATTAAACTGACAATGTGTTGCATGTCATATGTCTCATAATCATATTATGTGAATACATTGTAAACTATTTGCTGAATACTTTCTTATACAGTGACATATTCGTACTTTTCTGAAGAAAACCGTCTTCATACATAAAATATGATTGCATACGATTACTACAAATTACAAATCAGATTAATTCCCAGATGATCGGAGGTAGGTAATAATACAAAGGTGATCAAGAACAATAGACGAAGGTAAAACATTCGGGTAATAATATACTTACTGGAATTAAATCTACATTACGCCTTTTTTGGTTTTCACTTATGTCATTCAACATGCAACATCATGCAAGAAGCTATATTCATGTCCTGACATGCATAAGTTCCAATTACGGAAGATTTATCAGCAATTGCACCATTTCCGTTTAAAATTAAATACAATCTTATATTCTTTAATGTGTATAAATTACATTTTAACTTAACATCCCTATAAATTTCTTATTCATACATAAATAGATATAGTATTGTATTTATAAATCAATATGAAACGTATTGAAGAATGTTTATCGCTAAATAAAATTTAAGACAGAAGCAGTCCATTAGATCGAAATATCTTGAATGAAAATTACAATATTAAACAAAAACCTGAATGTATCCAACATAGACAACCTCCACAAAACACGATATGCTTGTAGTAATATCATATTAAAAAGGTGACATGTGTTTCACACATGTTTTTTTATTATCCATAAAAGAGATTATTAATGGAATGTAGAAACTTTGTTTAGTGGTTTTATAAAAATATTCTGGAATTTGTGAAGTATTTTTAAACAGTAGATAACGTACACAAATAAATATTGACTTTCAAGTGGTTACAAGTTACTACAGATGCAGTTTATATAACGAATCTCACTCCATTCAATCAAATTTGTTCAGCTCTTATTTACAAACTCGTAGAAATTGTTGTGTTATGTCATTCCGACTGACCTATTATGAATAATGTCAGTCAATAAATATTATGGCAAGCAAACAATATTACCTGAGACTCATATGAAATATCTCTGTGCCAGTTTTGCTCCGGCGTGACTGTCTACTATCTGTACTCACATCAGCATCAAGTGTACTATCGCAAAAATAAATCATTTCACTTTTGTAAATTTTTGTTTATATCATATGCGATATTTTGAAAGCATTACAGTATTGCAGACATTAAAGAAGTATAAGCGAAGCCTTTTCGAAAGACCGTCTTGCCATAGTGCATATATTTTAATTTTTGCGACACACTTATGATGCTAGAAAATTGGGAAATTAATTGAATTGTTATGATTCAACGTAATTTTCTAAAAAGTCTATGAAGTACATGTCTTCAACACTGGTACTCTAATTATTTAAACCAGATTTAGTATTTTCAATTTGTAACGATTATTTACAATGTACCATATCAAAAGTTTTCATTTCAATAGAGCCAGTAAATTTTAATATAAGCTTAAACATGCAAAATGCAAATTAAGTGACAGACTTGTACAGCTCTTGCACTATGTTGCATGATATTGCTGCTTTGCTGAAAAACATTACAATATTTAATTTCCTTCCAGCTCTATTTGCTACTTCTGAGATCAGCAACATAATTGAATAAAACTTTTTAATAACTAAATTCAAGGTTCTCTTATTTACTTATTTATAAATGTTGCACTTTTCTTTGTTTATGCAACATATGATAAAAGCCTCACTGTATGTATTTATATATTTTTTTAAAGAAAAATGTGTAAAAAGTGAAAGCATTTATACTTAAAGCAAGCAAAGTAGCAGTCGACCATATTAGTAGAAGTAAATATCAAGCCTTTTCCCTTCTCCTGGGTTACTGAAATATTTGTTTCTTTTCAGAATATAATTTAGTAATACTCACTTTTCTTGTACATCTTCAAAAGCTGTACCAATTCCACACTCTGGATGAACATCGCAATTGTGAACACTCTAGAAAAAATATGTTTTGTAGGTTTAAACGTTAATTTTATGTTTTAATACTATTTTGTCAATATTTAAAATTGATAGTTCGTTGCTCATTAGGCTTGTGCAATGCAATGTTTGTGAAATATACCTTTAAATTATTCATGATGTCAATAATATCCAAAACTGCATTTCTTTCGACTGTTGGTGAAATAAAATCTCTATATAGGGTTCCAGCATCTAGATTAATTTGATCTGAAAATAATTTAAACAAAAACTGTGTAGTTCAGTAAGTACGAAAATACAAAAGTATAAAATACACAAATTCCCACTTATACCATCACTATCCAATTGAGGAATTGGGCTTTTTGGTCTAGGTCTCGCTGTATGTCGCGATGCAATTCTTTGTGGAACATTTGGAACTGCTCCGTCTTCATCTGCGTCCAAATCAGTAAACATATGACTGGGGTTTGAAACCTTTTGCAACAATTCCAATGCTAATCTTTTATTCATATCGCCTTGGAAAAAGGCATGCTGCAATAATACATTTAACAATGAAATTTATCACATAAAAAGCAATTAGTATAATACAGTAAAACTCAAAAGTGCCTTAATAATATCATTTAACAATGTATAATGTATCATAACATATTTTCATAAATCCAACCTGTAATAACTTTTCTGCTGTTGGTCTTTTTTTGGGATTTTTGGTAAGTGCTACTTTAACAAAATTATGAAACGTTGGACTCCACTTATCACGATCCTTTAAAGTTGGTGGTTTGAAACCAGACTTAGACATGAGAAAAAGGGCACGCATTGGATGCAGATCAAACATTGGTGGTTGTAATTCTGCCAATTCAATTGCAGTAATACCACATGCCCAAATATCACATAATTGGTTGTAACCTCCCTTTCTCTCTACAGCTGCAACCTAGCATTAACCATGTTATCCCATTCAAATATTGTTTGTTAATTTGTATTTGACAGATTTATGAACTTTAAATTCATATTTACTGAAATGTAAATATATACCTCAGGTGCCATCCAATATGGAGTTCCAATGAAACTTTTTCTTTTATTAATAGTTGCTGTAATTTGAGCTGAAACTCCAAAATCTGCCAGTTTGACATCACCAGCTTCAGTCAAGAGTATATTGGCTCCTTTAATATCACGATGCATTTTTCCCATGCTATGTAAATAGGCTAGGCCAAGAAGAGTCTCTCTGCACATGTATGCTATTTGTATCTCCATTAATGGACCAGTTACTATAATACGAGTTGTGAGTTAAATAAAATGCCTCTATTTCAATTATGCTTAACACATTAAAAATATTACAATTTTACATTCACTGGATAAGACTATCAATAATATAGATAATATGTAATAACATATAATTAACTCACTGTGATATATATCTTGCAACGAACCACCTCCGCAATATTCCATACAAATCCATAACTTATCTCTTCGAAGATAACTTCCATAATATGCAATTATATTAGGATGTCTACAATCTTTCATCATCAAAATTTCTTGCTGAATGATTGCAAAATCATCACCTGAAATAAATAATCTCCTAAAAATGAACGTCTTCGTAATGTTTCAATTACTTTTGTTTCTCTTATTTTTACCCTCAAATCATTGAGGAAATCAAGTAATAACTTCCATCGTTCTTATGAAATCACAAAAAAGAAAATATCCCACATGTTTAATTACTTATAATCATTTCAAAACATTGGTTTTAACCTATCTTATACAATGTCACAAAGGTTAATAAATATGAAACTGTTACAAATTACCTACAATTGTGCAAATTATATCTCTTACTCTTAATCAGTAAATACAAACTCTGTCTCGTATCAATGTTATTCAAATATATATAGATTACAAAAAACAATTATCTCTTATCACGATAACATGTGATTAACAAAATGCTCTGATCGACGAAATTCCTTTGATGATTAAAACATAAAAATATATCTCCGCCTTTAGGCTCATTAGTTGCATGGAAAAAAACTCATAAAACTATAATAAAAGCGTTAAAATTATCTTCAAAGTTATAAGCCAATGTCCCAGTTGACAGATTGACCCACCTGGTTCCAATTTGATAACCTTGATGGCTGCTAAGTCGTTCATAGACAGTCTTTTTGCCTGCAAGAATTACAACCTGTTAATGCAACTTCGAATTCTCTGATGATAATACTAAACTATATTGAAGAAAAAATACCTTATAAACATCTCCGTAAGTCCCGCTGCCTATCCTCTGGATGAGTTCATACTCGTCCTGTGGATTTCGTCGGCTTATATCACTAGACAATGCGTTTGCGTTAACTGCCATAACGAATGTCGTTCCGTTAACGCTAATACTTAGAGATCGTAATTAATATTTACAAAGAGTGTTAACGTTACAAAGTAAAAAGACATTTGATCGGAAGGATGTCACTTCTATCGAAACGTCGCCATTGTTCACAATAGCTCTGAGGTTAGCTGCGTTTGAGGGCGCGATAGGCGCGATGCTCCCAGAATAGATCGATCTTCGAGATCGACTTTGAAATTCGATTCTCTCGCAAATTTGGATTTTTTAAATCAGTTATACAGATCCACCCTACGCATGAGCTGAAAACAATCGATTAAACTTATTAAACTAACATTGAAGTGCGCACGTTGCTGAGCGCCCTCTACAATATATGTGGCAATGCACGACACGTGTACATTTAAAATCGTTTACTTTCAATATACAACATTCTGTATTTTACAGAGATTGGACACACGAGAAATTCGCAAATTGCAAGGCAGGGTACATTAATTCCGTTTAAGTAATATCTTTATAAAATTTGACATAATTTATTAAATCTTCACCAATTCTTTGATAAACTCTTTAAAGAATAAACGATATTACTAGTATTCGACTTTGGGCATAAAATAGTACTGACATATTTAGGTTCCGGCTAAGTACGATTTTACCCATTAAAAAGCCTTTGGTTTTAAAAATAAACCGTAGGCGGGTCTATTGTAAATAATACTAATTTAATAAATCGAATTCCGTATAAGGGATGTAATTAATGCTCTTCATTGTTTTAGGGAGCAATTCCGATTATCTTTGGGAATACTTCCTACCCAGTATAGTATCAGCACGTATTGCTACCTCATTCAGGTACCTTTTTGTAATGTAATCGGCACATATCGAACGGGCTCTTCGATACGTGACGAAGGGTTGACAAGCTATAGAGGGCAGATACATGTATAAAGTCGGTACTTCGTCGGCTTAGCATAGCATGCCATAATGATAACACGCTCGAATAATAAGGATAGCAGCAGAGGAGACAGGGTTGGATACGCACGCATGGGTCCGCGTTTGGGGTCCGTCTTCCGCTTCCAGTCTAGTATACGTTCTGGCTTTAACTCCGACTCAGTTACACTTAGTACCTCCTACATTGTGTTTGTCCTAGATCCTACCTCGAGCCTTGTCTTCCTCTGCAGCGCATCGCATCGCCTTGTCCCGCCTTGGTTTGCCGATCCCTCTTCGCGACTTCTTCCTTACCTTCCTCGTCCTTCGACAGTCTGCCAAGGGACGTCCTTACGAAGAGATTTCTCACTTAACGTCGAGGCCCACTGAAGAAGGAGTCAGTGACGAGTGTTAAAAAGTGTCGGTTTAAAAAGATCAGGAAACTCGGTAGTTTCGCGCCAAATACATTTAAAAGCCTGCGCGAACGGTACCGAATACTTAATACCAATTTAATTAACCAAGGATATCAAATGCTCAAACAAATTTAAGGTATCGTGGAATGTAAGGGTGCCAAGTGGTTTCGTGAAAAATTGACATAAACTTTTGTAGAGGATACGTCGTGTCATCAACGGTTGATTCATAAGCTGGATGAAATCATGTAGAAGCGAAGGATAGTCACTTCTACCTGTGATTCATAGATCACGTCAATGGGCTTCTAGTTTGACTTAAGTGGAGGATCGTAGAAAAGTGTTTCTATTTAAAGATCAAATCTATCAAGATGAATCCGCTATTATAAGGTTACTGGTCAGGACGTTACACATATAGTAATTATCAGACGGAATGGTTGAATTAAAAATTGAACGTGAACGATGTAATTGAGATTGAAGTTAAATTTTGAAAATGAGCGATATCTCCAACTTGTCCTGATCGATGAAGGAAACCGTGACATCCATGTTAACGACATGCTATAAAACGCAATAACATGTCTCTAATAACACATACGGAAATATAATTTCAAAATGTCATTAAAAATTATGTCGACCGAGTTTGACTGGCCAGTGATCCATTCGAAAAATAAGACTGAATCGATGCACTCCAACAACGAGCGAAATAAACACCTCGGTTAAATAAAAATAATTCCTTCGTGGCATGATTTAATTAAGGAAATGCTACGCTGTGAAATTTCGGTTTCGATGTAACCTTTAGTTGTAAAATATTCTGCAAAAAGAGATCTAAAACATTAGTTTACAATGTCGAGCGAACGATTGCTATCTTGGATCGTGGTAGCCCTTGTGTCCGGTGTGTGCAAGGCGGAGCAAAGGTTCTCCGAGACTCCCGCGACTTATCAGGAAGTCTCTTCTGGAGACGACGTGCAGCTGCGATGCAGAGTGCAAGACAAGAAGGGCCAGTGCATCTGGCAGAAGGACCGAAAACCTGTTGGAATGCATCCGGACAAGTACGAGTGGGTCGGCGGACGCGAGAGCGATTGCACCCTCCTGATTAGGAGGGCTTCTCTGCACTTCGATGACGGCTTCTGGGAATGTCAAGTCACACCCGGCGATTTCACTCGTCAGGATGCACTCACGTCACTGCCGGCTCGTTTGTTGGTCCGAGGTAAGGACCCGTTAGTCGAGAACTTATCGGCAAATAGCCTTAGCGAGCCTCTTAAAGCTGTTAACGACTTCGGTCTTCCTGCCCATACTGCTAATACTGGAGCCATGTTAATACTTACTCCATATTGGAGTGAGTATGAAAATAAGAGTAATAATATTACTATAATTATACACAAATTGGTAACAATGTATATTTGTATCGATAATGCTAAAGTTCAATTAAGCAGTTAACACTATTATGGTTGGAGCACATATTTCAATTAAGATGATTTCAAATTACTTTTTATTCTTACTACTAATGGCAAGGCCCGTTAGTTAGGACGTGTTAGCGAATGGGCTTTACAAGCATTGCATCATGGTTAAAACGATTAACATGTTTACTCTCCATACCTGTTTCTGGGTTACTAAATACATGTACTCGAAATCCTTTTAGAATTGCACAATTTTTGCTCGGACCACTTACAAATTACATGCGTAATTGCGGTGCACAGGTTCCGTTCTACTTTCAGATTTATTGCGCTAATGCATTTCTATCGAAGAAATTACAAACAATTGCGTAAATTAAAGTTAAATGTCAATACTATTTTGTACGTACTCATGACGTTTTTGTAAATGATGGATTGCAGTCAAACCGAGAAAGCCTCTCCTTGAATACGGAGGTGCTGTTTTAAATTCCGTTCTTACATTGAGGGAAGGTCAGGAAGCTACACTTTCCTGTGTGTCTAGATACGGAAATCCACCGGCGCTCATAAAATGGTGAGTAGTGAAATTTACTCAGTGTAGCGTTTAACATTCATTTTAAGCCTATGAGTGCACTAAAGGGGTTTGAAGGAAGTAAGTGATTAAAGGTTAATGAGTTCCCAAATAAAAGACATATATTTCGAAGAAAAGACATGTACACGCCCTCGTATCTAATATGTATAGAGGGAGAAGGAAGAACTATTTTCCAAGAAATATAATATTTTTTAAAGAGAATACAAAGTAGTATTCAAATTGCACAAATATTTATTGTACATTTATCTGAAATGTGTAAAATGCATTCATACTTCCTTCATATAGATGCATTTACAGGAATGGTATTCTTTGTTGTTTGTAACTGTTTCTGACTTTCTTTCTTATATAAGGGTGGTTCATTATACATCGAATAACATTATAAGATTATCGCTCGAACCAACTTTCAAAAATAAATTACAAATTCAAGCTTGACAATTTCTCATTATATTCAGTTATATCATTGCATAAGCATAAGCCTGGACTGTGGGAAAATAACGTTTTGCGTTCTTGTACTATCTCTAGTTAAAAATTCTCAACCGCATTATTACAAGCGCAGGTCGCGGACTGTAATCTCGTCCCAGTAGAAAAGGCAAGAAGCCGTAACGTCGCGTTTATGCAGGAAAGGGCTGTCCAAGAATTGCCTTTTTTAATTCACGGTCTGGTAAATCGACTCGCTCCTTGTGTAAGTCCTTATAATATGATCGCACGTGCCTACACGTAGTCCACACCTTAATAATGCAACGGGTTTATCGGACGTACCGGTACATACCAAGGGTGCGTCATTTGTCAGTGCATTTAATCTGACCTCTTAACTGACGATAATGCCGCATTATTTAATCATTGAAATTGTAATAGTTGAATTAAAACTACCCCATAGATGTCACTTATTGTTGTTACTTACACATATTCGTTTGAAATCCTTAAATCATTGACATTCAAAAAGTTGTCTGACATTTATTTATTAAACTTCTATACGATAGAAAGCACGAATCAAAAAGGTTAATCTATCTCAACATCGTCTAAGCGAAAATTAATTAAAGGTAATCATGAGGTAAAATTATTTGACAGCTCGCTAGATTAGTCTAGCCAGCCGTCGTTTGAACCTCAAAATAGTGTCGTTTGAACCTCGGGAATTCAGACAAACTGACCAGATCTTTGAGCGATCGCGTGTTTAATCGATCGCACTGTATGTTTCACTTTATTCCATACGCCAAACGTTCTTAAAATAATTCATTCAGAATAACAGGAGATTATCCGTTTGATGTTGGCAGGTTTATAGGAGGTGACGAAGTCGAAGCTTTGAGAGAACAGACGAACGCCACAGAGGTGGATAATCCGAAGACATGGGCAGCACACAGCATTATACATGTACGAGGTCAAAGGGAAAATCACGGTCTACCGATCAGATGTCTTACTTTGCATCCTTCCAGCCCACTGCCAGCGATTGCTGAGTCTCGCCTCGATATTCACTGTAAGAGAACGATCTAGGAAGGAATTTCTTAGACTCTTTATTGGAACGATCTTACTTGCTCTGGAGCGATTTTGTAAACCCTTTGCAGGATCATGATACATTAATGAAATGTTAATTTTTCTGCTTTTATTGTAATTTTTAAACTTTACAATGTTTAGTTAAGAGTAGAAAGAGCTTTCTCCAGGTAGAGCAGAGGTTGAAACTTCCGCGATGCATGACGAGTTGAACGGTACTTGGCTAAAGATAAGCATTATTCTGGAAGGAACCGAGCTGAATCCACCAATTAGGAAGTAAATTTCAGATTCACCGGAAGTTATGATGGAAACGAGTCCTCGTTTGCTTGCTACCGCTTTGGAAGACTCTGCCAGCTTTATGAGCCTAAAATGCATAGCTGACGCTAATCCTACGGCGACGGTCAAATGGTTCAAGGATGCCACTCCCATTACGAACTCGAACAACATTGTTTTGCTGATGCAGAATCGCACTCATCAAAATGGAACCTGGATAGGGTCGGAATTAAGATTCGAGCCCGTGAAAAAGGAAGATGCCGGCTTGTATTCCTGCAAAGCTTCCAATACCATCGGAGAAAGCCCACCTGCAAACTACCGGATTGATGTTCAATGTTTGTAAAATTGATTCTTTCATTTTATGTATACATTAACCATTTTTGTTTCCTTTTTCAGTCGTTAAAGGAAACTGTGCTACCAAGACAATATTCGTTTTTATCTTTTTAGATGGACCTAGGTTAAAAGTGAAGGATGCGAATAATTTTAATTTAACTTTCGACGAAGTGGAAGAATCTGCTTTATTGGGTACACCGATAGAACCTTTTGAATGCGCAGAGTTTGAAGCGAATCCACCTCCTCAGTTCAGATGGATTCATTTGCGTGGTGGTACCACGGAAATGCTTGAAAACATTGCTCAAAATATGGACGCTGGAAGACGTCTACGTTTAAAGCACATTATGTGGTCAGACGAAGGAGAATACCGTTGCGTTGCGTTTAACAGCATCAACGGAGTTCGCCGAGAAATGCCCCATGATACGCGTTTTATATTACATGTAACTGGTCCACCTGAAATACAGACAAGAGCTTCCTCTGACGGAAAAGGGTTTTATGAATCGATCGGATGGGCTGGAGAACCTGTTCACAGATTAAAGTCTCGTTTCTGTTCACAACCACCTCCCCGATTAGTCGCATGGCAATGGGGCAGTTCACACATCAGGGCCGGTAATTAAATCATTTACTTTTTATATACTTGTTCAAAAAACAATTCGCATGGAGCACAATAACAATATGCGCCCGATGCGTTATTTACGACAAACATCAGAACTTGGGAAAAAATAATAATTTTTCTTCAAACATATTCTGAATTAATATGTACTGTTTTGATTAATTAATTAGAAATAAAAATAAGAAAGCTGGCATGTTTGGTGATGGTTTTCTAATAAATTTTAAAAATTAAGTTTTTTATAGTAAGTAGTTAGTGGGTGGGTATACTGAAAATTTTCTGTTCTTAGGAGAGAGCATTCAACAAAAATATGAGGCATTACCATTAGAACCTATTACGGAAAATAAAATGATAACTAATTGCTATTGGGCGAAACTTGAAATAAAGGATCTACAAAAAGAGGACGCTCGGGTATATACTCTCCTAGTAGAAAGTGAGAAAGGCAGGGATTCAACGAATGTGAAACTAATCGTTCGAGACCCCACAGAAATGCGCGTAATCGCAGCCGCGGCTGCAGTGGGATTACTCCTTCTGCTCCTTTTGATCTCTGTTGGCGTGTACTCGATACTTCGAGCCAAACATCGACAGTATCGACAAGAAGAGGGAGAAGGAAGTATTGCGGCCGATGCTTTCTACAGTACCGCGACATCGATGGAACCTCGGAAGACAGTCAATTCTCCGCAGAATAAGACGCTTGCGAGGAAAACGAATCACGAGGGTGGTCTAGCAATAATGTATGATTACGATCAGATCGCTAAGCAAGATCGAACGATGAGTCCGGAGGCATTAAAAGTGCGGAGAGCTCCTGCAGTGTTACAGCCACCCACTATTGTGTGACAATTGTGAACAAAATATGGATTAGTGGAGAAAATGTTAAAATAACTTTCAAAATGAACACATGGAAATGTCGTTAACATAACCCTTTTAGTTCTGAATGATTGAGGATTTTTTATACTCACTACTATATATTTAACTGAAATAAGTAGCGTCATGACTGGCTGAAGTTACAATAGCTTTTGTACCACTCCTGTTAATGAGTTTTATGTTTGTTTGATTTTAATTATTGTATACGTTTCAAACAAACCCTTAAACATGCGTTTTAGTCAGACATATAACGATAGCGTATGCTACAGGAAAATTTACGAATATGCGTGGCTTAGTAGATAGTACAGAATACGTAAAGTATCTGTAAGGGATAAGTATATAAAGGCTATTTTAGTCTAATTAGAAAAGTTAATTATTTTTATAATTATAGTTATAGTTACTTAATTCTTATTCCAACGAAGGTACATTTACGTGAACATCATCGCGGACAATGAAATTATTTATTGTTGTTCTTGTTAAACCTTACTACTAAGACTGTAGAAACATCGAGAGAATTTTATGTTAATGTTTAAGCTATATTAATATTTAATAATAAAATATAATTGTATACCAAACCGGATTTTATTACCTTTCCACTACGTGCTGTTTAACTTTATTTAAATTTGCCGCTCGTTGCTGACGTCAAATTCTCGCATCTTACTGGTTCACTTGTGCGCATGCGAGTCCACGCATGCTCGTAGCAGGTATCAATTGTTTTTATATGCTTGCTTACCTGCCTTGACTATGAAAAGTGTCTTATTTCGGTTAATTTAATAACCCTTGTGCATGAAGAGAGGTAGCTAATTTTACATACTGCGTAAAATATTTACTATATATTATCGCTCAATTATCATGACGTATTTAACGTCGTGGGAGGAATTTGAAAAGGTTGCAGAGAGGTTATATCTACAAGATCCACTAAAGGTATGGTTTTCCTCAAATTCTTGATTTATGAATTAGGGTTCTAAATAGTAATTGTGTTTCCTACTACAGTGTTTTTCTATTTTGACCTCCTAACATAAAAGTGAATTATTTCTTAACTTAATTCTGTCTGTGGCATTTAATTTATGTGCACCGTTTTCTAACCTTAGTCTGGTGCTAGTTTTATGTATGAGAGAAATATATTTAATTAACAATTTATCAATATGAATTGAGATTCTAAAATTTTCCTGTGTCTGTGTAGGCTCGATTTAGTATGAAGTATTGCCACAAAAAAGGACTTCTTTGTCTGAAGCTTACGGACAACTGTACGGTAAGATCATTTCGATTGTTTCGGACTTACATAAACTCTAAAGAATAGGCCAAAATATTATGTAAAAATACAAATCTTGACGATGCATGTTAATATGTGATCCAATAAAACATCTGATACAAATTCTTGCTTCAAATTTGATAGATAAACCAAAATACAATTTAAAATATGTACTGTTGCATTGAAACAAAACTACTATAAACAGCTGTTAAATTTGTAAATCTGGTACGCCCATTAAAATTAATTTATTTCCTGTAAGATTTTTATTTTAGGTTCAGTTCCTATAAGTGAGTAGTTTGTACATTACAAATATGCTAGTTTATGTTGATATGGGAATTGTATTGTAAAATACATAGTATTATTTTTTTCAGTGTTTGCAGTACCGAACAGAAATTGCACAGGATTTTAAAAAGATGGAGAAATTTATAGGAAATCTTATGCGGCACATGGCTTCGAAGGATGTCTAAGGTTGAAGTGAATTTTTACTCGTATACATGAAGAGAGTGGTGGGATTATATATATTTATTTTATTCAAGTATAAAAAACTTTTCACTTAAATATACAATATGTGCAAAAGAGTTAGCATCATTTTCAATTAAAGCTTGGTGTTTATTTTGGCCTGGTCCTCTGTCTGCGTGTCAAAGTTCTGCAACAATCAAACAGGTAAAGTAAAACGCTGTTGACAAAAAAACGGATTTAGCTAAGCTTTGGTTTAAAGTATCATGTAAATTTATTTACATGATATTAACGTAACTTACGTTGTATTTGTTTCAAAGCAATGATATTTAAATGCATCGAATGATTGTAAGCTTCTGTTACCATGTTTTTATCTATTTTGTATAGAGAGATTTAGTATGATTGCATTAACGATTAAGCAGCATAAAGATTCCATTCAAGTTTCCTCTAATTAATTTGAAATGATTGAAATGAGAAAAAAGCAACGAAGACAGACTTACGATATAATTGGTTGAAGAACCACATCCAGAGTAGCATCAACAGGGTAGATTTCTTGATTGAAAGGCAGTTCATAGCGTCCCTGTCCCCCTACTTGCTTTTGCGTCTACACCAAACAAAACTATTTTACTAAACTACCGGGAATATTACGATGCAATTAACTACGTTTTATGTGTCAGTATTTCATTAGTGTAGAGAGACCATGATAATAGTAAACTTTTAACTCATCTAGTAACAATTGTAATTTAGCTTAATAAAATGCTGTACTTAATAAAGAAGAGCAGAAAGCCGAAACCACATTCGCTTATAATCACTTTAATAATTCTGATATATTTTATTAAAAAATTGTAAAGTCAAATTAGGTGTATGATCTTTTTTTCTCTAAATATTTTTTTTTCTCGTCGAAAGCTTAATGCACAAAGCAATTATTCATTATGTTATGAAACTTGCACATTACTATCCTCACCAGAAGAGTGCTCAATTAGAAATAGTGATAAAATATAGTTTGTACAAGATGTTAATGTTATACCGTTGTCAATTATGAAACAGCATAATTTGCGTTCTGTCGTTACATAGATGCAACTGTAGTGTTTTTGCTACATTTTGAAGAAAAAAAATGCTGTACAATTGCGATCTGAGGATACTGCAACTTGTAATAATGCGATCTAAAAGTAAAACCTATTTTTTTTAAATATCATGCTTCCGTTGAAAAGTAAATTATGTCGTTACCATTAATGACTCCATGTATGGAAGTGTATGTAATTTGTACGTATTACAATACCTGTTGTACAATGCAAAGGCGTAAAGTATAAGATATAAAATGTAAAATTAACATTCAAAATTTCGTATGTAGCATCGTATTACATTAACATTCTTTATTTCTTATTCCTTGGACCATTATCATTGTAAAACAGATTAAACTAGAATATATATAGCAATATCTACTGTAGTCAGGGTCGGTCCAGACCTCTCAGCGATGGATGCAATGAGTCTTGTCCTTTCCTAAATAAATAGGTAGATAACATCACGTATCCCAAATTGCGAATCAATATCACATCAATAATGTTTCAAAATGATATCGCCCTTAAACAAAGTCGATCTCAATAGTCAGTCGTAGATCTAAAGTCTCACTACCTGTATCGTTACCGAAATTTCAAGACGTTCTCTACTTCATCTGTCGATTTTTCTTTAACAAACGTGTCTTTACTTTCAGAGATACAATTTCATCAACGTCCATTGAAACTTAAAGTCGGACGGGTCATATCCCCTCACATTCCAGATGGAGCCGGCCCTGATCATAGTTAAGCGTTTCAAGTGTTGTAAAACGGACAAATACTTTTCCCATTTTTAACTAAGCTGCATCTTTATGAAGACAGAGGTATGCAAATATATATGTTAAGTGTGAAGTGAAGTGACGAGTGGTGTTGTCGCTGACGGTTTGCAACGCCTTTATTGAGTGCAAGCAAAACGGAAAGATACGTACTACACGGGTAGGTTTAGCGCTGTCAGCAGAACTCGAGCAGCAGCTGGAAAAATCCTGGGTCGTGCTCTCACCTAGTCCGCTGTCCACATTACTGCCTATTAACATTCTGCAGTTACGAGTATATTCGAAGTCCCTCATCGAATTATACTCATTCCTAGCTTCGGGGTACTTCGAACCGATTCGAGCCGTCGTTCTCGCTGACGGCAAATTATAACTTCCATCGCGAGTACGTTGGACCACAGTTCTCTCTCTTTTGTCGAGGTATCCGATCGTTCTGAAAGTGAATCCTTCGCAATCGATCACGGTTCCGGCTGGATCACTCCCACTCCCTCACCCCGATTAACATATCTCCTTATACGACTAAAGTATAGTAAACGTTGAAACACGCTAACCGCGGTACCTAGACCGTAGTCTGTTCATGCCCTCTAACTGAAGTGCTACTCTACGAAGGTCCACAACAACGAGACAGGGGTTTTAATTCAGAGTTAATAACGTCACATTTACGAGGGTGATCATCGAGCTCTTGCAAGACCTCCGATCCAACGTAAGGCACGGTTCCTTTAATTTAAATTGAAGTCGAGGAATTACAAGTGTTTGAACGTCTACTAAAACTGACACCTGATGGATCACACACAACACATATAAACATGTACACATGGACGCCAGTTGACTTCCGTGGAGCAGCATAAGCAGCGGAGGGTGCCAGCCAGGAAATAAATAAACAGGCGCAACAAGCAGTTAATCAAGTGATTTATTAAGGAATCATGCTTCAAAATAAATAGGGGCATGCTTAAAGTATATCATGTACATGCTCGAAATAAATAAAAAAAAAGAGACACATGCAAGGGGTTTCAAACAATGACTACGGATCCCGTCTCATCCTCCAGAGGAGGGTTGTGCAGGGTGCACGCCGTCTTGAGATCATCGTACCTAGGCAGGGACGACGCATCCTCCTCATCCAATCGAGGATTGCTAGATTGGAGAGGACATTGCGGAACGGATTGTGACTGGACCACTGTATAAGGGATCTCCCGGCGTTGCTGTTCGCTCATTCCCGTTGTATCGACTAGGCCGAACTCCAGGTGTCTGGAAAAGAGCGTACCGTTGCACCTGTGAGAATCACCGATTGCACCGATTACAAGGACGAACGTTCCACGCGTTGGATCGGTAGAAACGTCATTAACCGTGTCGGATCGTACCGAAAGCTCGAATTTTTATAGCAGACCCGAAAACCCACTAATGGACCTCTACCTTATACGCATCTCCATCACGGATGCGAGAAATGCAGTGCTACGATTGCGGTGTTCGTGAGCGTGCACGTTTGCTAGAGCCAGGAACTGCTCGTACACGAAATTCGACGGACGCTATTATCTGTTTAAAATCGGAGCCGAGGGCTACTGTCGAGCAGCGGGGAGCAAACGTTCGAAGAAAGGCACGTCCCTTAATTTTAAATCGTTTATAACTGACTATTATTTCATGTTTATCCGTGAATTACGGGTATCCGCTGCGGGTTCACGAAGAAGCGGCCCATGCGGTCTACCCCTTTAAACGTCACGGAGACAGTGTCTTCCTTCAACGTTACCCGTTATCGACGCTCTACGTCGTCACCAAGAAACTTACTTTCTAAGTTCATCAGATAAGGGTTGCTTATGCGAAGGACTTCTGTGCCTGCTCCTGTGCCTCCTTCTAGGTTCCGTGTGGCTCACCTGCAGCAGCACACAATCGTTAGCATTGTTCGTGACAAGGGGACAAGGTCCGTCAAACCCACACGACACGTATCTGTAAACATCTCGTCTAAACGTACAACGTTAGAAATTAGCCCGTCACCCATGCGTGCGATACACGTAATTAGACGACGCGTAATTACGGACACTTGTCCCGAAGCCGATCCCTCTACTTACCACCGCCCGCTGGACGTCCTCGCCCTTCCGCCTTTGGGCCTCCTTCCACTGGGGCTCGGAGTCGATCAGCTCGTGCCTGGAACGTTCGGAAATTGAGAACGCTCCTCCTCGCCGGCATAACTCCGGATTTCGTAACGCCGCTCGTAGACTTGCACTTGAGTGCGTCGACCTCGAACCTCCCCGCGATCGATTTCTCTTCGAGAGATCGAGGTCACGGCATTGGGAAAACCGGAACGCGCCGATCTCGGCATAGGTCGCGTACCGGCGCCCGAGATCGGCGTCGCCGGCTTACCTCAGCGCGCGCCACCGATCGACTCTCTCGAGTTTTACGCCGGCGGCTCGGTATCTCTCTTTCTCTTTCTCCCGTTTTCCTCCTTTTCCGTTTCCCTCCGAGCCGCCGGCGCGCAACGGGGATAATTAATGTTCGACGTCGTCGACCAATTACCACGTAAGGAACGGGCGCGCATACCTCGACGAACGAGAACTTCTGTGCTTCCGACGATGCTTGCGATGGCCCGATCTGTTATCGGACCCTCGCGACAACTCGGACTCGCAGTCGGAATGGCGGCTGTGTCTTCTGTGACTATGACTGTGGCTTCGTCTCCGATGCCCGCCGCGGCTGTGACTGTCTCCGGAACTCTGACTCTCGACCGAGCTGCTCCTGTGCTGGAGTCTGCTCAGCAGCTGATCGACAAAAGACAAGTTAACTTTGATCCGATCCGATATCCAATCGACTTGGGCCACTTGCACGCGCACCGGAAAAATCGACATCGATGCCGACTTTTTGCTCTACACGTTACAATTCTCATTTTTATATATTGTATCCGGTAAAAAAGCCGACGCCATTTTGTCGATGCGGGTGCAAACGCGCTTAAGGGGATGTCAAAGTGGTATCCGAGGGGTCTCTCGTTTGTGCAACTTTTCTCCAAACTGGGTGAACCGAATCGTTTCGATCTTCACAACGTGAATATGGAGGCTATTAGGAAGTCCTGACAACCATGAAATTTTATATTTTATACCAAATTTTAAAAATCTATAGACAAATAAATTTTTTGATTGAAATTTTATGGGTGTCAGGAACTTCTTTATAGCCTCCATGTTCACGCTGTGAAGTTTCACACGATTCGGTATACCCAGTTCGGAGAAAAGTTTCATAGAGGAAACCTCTTTGACGCTACTTTCACATCACCTTAACCCTTTCGCTACGGCAGTTCGGTCCACTGTAACGCCGCCACTGAACTGATCTCCGCGCCAAAAGTGTACATATTGCCCGTCTCCGTGGGTCACATCATGCATGCCGGATATATCCGCCGTTCGTCTCCGGGGGCTGTTATGTGGATGCCGGATGTAACCGGCGTTCGTCCTCGCGGGTTATCATGTGGATGCCGGATATATCCGGCGTTAGGAGCGAAAGGATTAGGGTTAAAGCACGGTAGACGGCTCGGACGGAATGGCCATTCCATTTTCGTCCTGAATTTTTCCGGACCGGTCCGATGTGCTTCAGCCTTAATCATCATTGTGCTTCGGCCGCTTGCACCCGCGTTGTCCTATCCGGTGCCGGTACCGACCTTTCCATAAACGATTCAACTCTCATTTATTTACATTCTACCCGGCAAAACAGCCAGCGCCGGTTTTACTGGTGCGGGTGCAAAAGGCCCAACTTTGACACGAGTATAATCGGTTTGTTCGTTTTGCCTACACTTTCTACATTTTTACGAATAGTGTACACTTTGGCGTTCGTTTTGACGGAAGTGACGCAACGTCGTTGTTCGTTTTGCGTGTGCATATACACCGAGTGTACACTTTTTCTACACTTTCTACCCTCGATCCCGAGCAAGTGGAAGAAGTGTAGCCCGTGAATTTGGCGGCAAATTTCAAAACTGAAAGGACCAACGAACAGGAAAATACAAACTTTATGCTAACATCTCAACGTAATATAAATTGAAGTAAGAATTTAAATTTTGTACGTAATGTTTGAAACAATTTACAATAATTATGTATTACTACGTAACCGCGGTTGGAATGAACTAAATTGTAATTTTTCACTATCGTAATTAAATTGTTTTTCATTCTACTGCAATAATATTCTAACCCGTATTGATCCTCAATACCTGAAATTCGTGGAAGGAATTTTCATCTTCTACAATTACAAGGTAATAGAACGAATTGTAGGATTTGAAGAAAACGAAAGCAGCCCAAGAAGGAAGGCTGGAAGAAGCATTGCATTTTCGTATTCAACATTGTCCGATACAGATAACCTCAAAATCGCGTACCGCTCTACTAAATCGGTCATCTTGGACTTTCATGAGGTATCTGGCGTTCGGGACGTTGACGAAACTGTATCTACCCTTCTGCCCTTTCAAAAAAAGTGTAGTACACTCGTTACACTCGAGTATAGAAAGTGCAGTTAACGAGAACAAACCTAATGACTAAGAAATGAAGCATCTCTGCGGCATCGTCTACGTTACAGTGGCCTATAAAGGACAAAGTTTAAAGACGTGGCGTAACCTTTCGAAGGTTTTTAAGAATATCTGAGGTCTAGAATAAAAGCGTCGCAAGGAAAGGTCAGCTGCCTCGTTTTAGTCTTTGAATTGATATCATAGAACGCCGTTAGAGAGCAATATCCAGTTTCTTGATCTAATGAAGTCGGAGGAACGACTCACTGCCGGTGCTGTTCCCGCGGAGCGAACGGAGCGAGGACTAGAGGAGGTGTAGAGGCCGCGCGGTTGGCTCTGAGTCCAGGGAGCACTTCTGGTGCTCCTGGGGCTCGAGTTGACCTGCCGGACGTTAACGCAGGGTGCGTTGTTCCCCGGGTTACTGGGACTTGCGGTGCTCGGCGGCGCTTCCACGAAAGGCCCCACCATCTCCTGGCCCTCGACCACACGACGCTGGGCTCTTCTGCTGGGCGTCCTCTGAAAGACGGGCGGTGGGTTGCGTCGAATGGCCGTGTGCTTTTCGGAGCCCGAGGGTGGGCTGTAGGAACGGAAACGGGAATAAGGACTGAGCGGCGGTGGTCCCGTCGCCATGAGCCGGAAGAAGGCCTGGTGTTCCACACAACATTTCCAGAGATGTCGGCACGCTCCTCGCGAGGGAGTCTCGAAGCCGTGGGTCCTCTCCTCGGAGTTCTTCTCGCTGACTCGGAGCATGAAGTACCTACCCTGGAAACGAGACGTTTCTACTAACCGATCCTATTTATTATCGTTATCATCGTGATTTATCGTAGCACCGTTGTCCGTTCGTTCGTTATTTGTCCAAGTGTAACAAAATACGGAATTAAAAGGCGTCCCTCTAATTCGGGGTCGTAGATTTCAGTAATACTATTTGTTTTAACCCCCCCCCCCCCCCAAGACTCTGCACGGGTTCATCAGGGCGTTCCAATTTCACGCTTGTGTCAAAACACCACAAAAGATTGAACTCCCGGGGTTTCAATAGCGCTTGAATTTGTACTCAGTTTCTTTTTTTATCAAACCCTCCTAAGACGCTGTAATGAGTCCTACTAAGACCACGTATAGATCCGCCAAGGACTCCAAACTTACTTTTTCGTTAAAACCGAACATATTGGAACCCGGGGGTTTTCGGTAATACCACTTTCGAATTCGTAATTAGTTAAATCTGTTCGGTTTTAATCTTATCATAATAAAGTCTGACGACCCACAAATCCACCTTCCTCTGGGGGATAATAATCCCACACAACACATTGTCGCGTTAGTGACTGTTCCCCTCTAATAATGAATTCGTTAATTGAGTCAATTGAACCCTCCGCCACTTTAGTTGTATCTACCATAAACAAAGTTCTAAATGATGCCGCAAAAGACAGAATATTTGAAGAAGTAAATTCCCATGTAACCCTTGGCATGTTTGGTGGGGTGTAATATATATCAACCAAACGCGGATGCCATGTTATAATTTCTCATCAGAATGCTAAGGTTTAAACACCTACTCTGAAAAAAATGTGTAAATTCAACTCAATTTTTGAGTTAAATATTGCGAACTCAATAAGAGAAATGGTTCACCTTAAATTTGGAGCCATTCATCCATACAGCTGATTCAACTCCAAAATGTGATTTGGCTCCAAACTTCCTTATTCAGTTCGCCATATTTAACTCAGAAAATGAGTTGAATTTACTCCATTTTTTTTCAGTATACGAAAATTTGAGTAAATCCAATTTTTACATTTAATTGTTGTTCCGGCTCACAAAGTTTCCTTGTTAACTTAGAACTTATATAAGATCCTGGACATACCTTTGAGTATATCTTGTTAATCCGCGGCCAATAATAATTGCCCACTTTGGTCTTGTTACGCAATAATATTATCCCACTCGGAGTCAGTCCCAGAAAGTACTCCACATTGTCCTCTCCCTATTAGGTGAATTAAACGTCCATTAGAATTTAGATACTAATCATTTAAATCGATTCAATAGAAGTCATAAAATGTAGTCGGAAAGCTCAATGCGTACGAGAACAGGATGTAGATCAACTCCATACATCTCGAGCCACTTGACCTTATCCAAATAGTTCAGCTCCGCTGCCGATGGGAGTTGGCCTCTGCAAAAGTTAGCCCATTAATCTATTCGCTCCGCAACAAGACCCCCCCCTTTCCGAGAAATCAATATCGAATTTCCGGGAGCAATTTTTTTCCCCTTACACCAAAGTTTTATGTAACTCCACGATTCTGGTTTCCAGCTCCGTTGTCTGATTGGCCAGAAACCGGAACTCCGTAACATATCCGAGGGAATGTCTCCTTGGATCGTAATCCCCAAGTTCCGCTGTAAAAGGCAACAATTACCATTACTATATTTGTCCTACAATTACCATTACTATATTTGTCCTACAAATTACAAATGAACAAACGGTTAAACTCGACTAGGCTTCACTCTAATTTTCTCACGCACATTCCGCTCGTCCCGGCGGAAATTCACGCACATTATCCACGCTAGAAATAGAAAGATAAACGCACTCTCTCCCTACAATCTTCACGTGTGTCTCTCACTGATCCTTTTCTTCCTTTGTCTACTTTTCCTTCTCCACGTATCCAATTCCTGCCGATATTATCGTTCAACGGTAAAGCCGGGGCGTCGAATGTTTCATGAGCACCAGATCCTCACGCGAGCGAGTTGCGCGTGAGAACGGATGCGGAGAATCGGGAAAAAACGACGACGGGCTTTTTTCTAATACACCACCTGAGAACGTGATGCGTGAAAGATGAAAACGACACACCACTTACGCCAGACTTTTCCCTCTCTCTTTGCTCTCATTTCTTCCTCGTAAGTGGATGCACGGAGTGATATCAAAATCATTTAAGTTCGACATTATATCTTTGATACTATCTTTAGAACTCTAAAGCCGGACACGGTCGTTAAAACGGTATTAAAATAGATTCTAGCTATAAAATTGATAAATAAATTGTTTAAATGTTCAAAGTCGAGCGCAGCACTCGATATACTTTAAGAGAGCTCTAAAATTAAGTTTTACACTTCATATTTTTTTTTTTTTTTAAGATGCGTGTCATTAACCCTTCTGCTACGACAAACCCAATTGATGAAATTATTTATGTTAACTACAGGTATTTCTTCTTCGAGACGCAGTGAATGTGTTAAGAGAATCGCGTCAATGTTTATTGTACGACTTTGAATTTTAGAGACATTTCCCTGTTTCGTTATTGGTACGAATTCAGCTTTTACGTGGAACATTGCTTTCTGAATCTTGTAAAGGGCTCGAGCTTTTGAATTTGAGTAGAACGCAAGGTTTTACTACTTCATTGGCTCCACAATCTCTCTCATTTGAACTTGGAGAAGTCGGAAAGTACCATTCCGAAAACAGCAGTAAATCAGGGGCCAAAACTCAAGTATTCGAGTCACTTTACCCGGTTAGGGATTCAAGGGGAACTTCAATATCGCCCTCGTCTCATAAGCTCGAAATCATATTCGCCGGCAAAGTGGCTGTTTATTCGTCCCTCTCGTTCAACTTGCTCTCGGCCTCTATATCATGATTCAGCAGACCCTATATACTCAACACGAGGCGAACCGCCTTCCGTTTCCCGTGAGGTATGCCAAATAAAACCCTCTGTCAACAAGCAAGGCGATCGTGATAAATAATCCTTCAGATATCCAATAAATTTAATTTTGCCAAACGCCTACTAAAAAGCAGTTCACGAATATTCGTGTTACCTTAAACGAAAAATATACTTTCTAGGCGAGATTAGTTATATGCAGCTATCTAAATGTTTCTTGCTAAAGAAATTACTTCATTCCAGCAAAATTGATTTTATAAAAATTACCGACATTACAACTCAAATGATAGCAAGTCAGCATCAAGTGGAAATGATTTCGCGAAAAGAATTTAATACACTAAATTGGGCTTACGTATTGAAAATATTAATGAAAGTTATATCACATTTTGGCTAGAATGTACTTGATTCGAACAACTTAGTATTTGATAAAATAATAATTCATAGCGAATAAATATTATTTGAAGTTGATGCATGAACGAGTTTACCGAATTCGTACCTGTACTACCAATAACCGTTAGATGTTTGAAAAAAAGAATCAGACGTACTGATTACTCTACTAAATTTGAGTTTTTTACAAAAATATTATTAATTATTTTAAAGTCTTCACTCTTTTAAGTGAATCAATATTACATTCTAACACGTTTATGCACAGGAAATGTAACGATAATAAATCAAATGGACTTAATGAATCTGAACATACAAAAATTCAGTATTATTTGCAATTTGCCTTATTCGCATTCGATCAGCCCGTCAACTTATTTTGTTGATAGTACTCAGTAAAGATCTATTCGACCCAAGAATTAATTTTTTTTCTAGAAAGTGATTTTTTCGCTCAGAGTATTCTCGTTTATAACAAAAAAACTCAAAAAATCGAGCCGAACAAAATTTCTCGTTTACTCGGGTATACGAATGAATGTTTGCGGTTTCATAAACCCACAAGTTAAGAAAGCTCAAATACACGAATCCCTTTTCTCAAGGAATTTGAGAAGCAATCCGACGTCATTGCGGACTTTGTCGGATGCCTGACGTCGGAATCATATTCGCTGGCAAAAAGGAGCATTTATTCGCCCCTTTTCAACCTACTTGAGCTAGACTCTATCTTTCGCTATTCAGTATTATACGTCCAGGGCAAGTCAAGACTGCCGTCCGTTTCTTTTAACACTCGCGCTCGCGTCATTACCGGCAAATCGAGACTCGGGCACCGAGACATGACTCGTTGTCGAGATCGTCTCGGTGTCGAAGAAAAGCCATTCATAGGGTTTCCTTTGACACGCGATGAGACGCAAACAGCGCAGTATCTCTATTTACCCAGCTTTGAATCTCGCGGCAGATAGCTAAACGTACTGCTTTATATCGAGGAGGATTCAGTACGAATGATTACATAAGAAAATGCACCGCCAGCGAAATTTCTTTACGTTGACGACAAGACGGCTTGTCTTGGTATTTCGTTTCTAAGGATTTTAGCGATTTTTATAGAACCAGAAGATACAGCGCACGGGGAAATTTTATTGTAACACTCCTTAACTATCTCTAATTATTTAGGAACACAAACTTGGACTGGAATAATTTTAAGGACTTTTTACTAGACACGTGTACCAATTAAGTTTGCGTCCTTGCCAATTTGAACCTCTGTAAATTTTCATTCTTTATTTCATCTCATTTTAAGATGATGTGAAAGTGGCGTCAAAGAGTTTTCGTTCACGAAACTTTTCTTCAAATTGGGTAGACCGAATCGGTTTAAACTTTACAATATATATATGGAGGGTATAAGAAAGGTTCTGAAACTTATGAAATTTCAATTATTTAAAATGTTGTTCATAGATATATTTAAAATTTATCACAAAAATTGAAATTTAATGAGGGTCAGGAACTTTTTCATAGCCTTCACATTCACGTTGTACATTTTGAAACGATTCGGCACACCCAGTTCGAAGAAAAGTTTCGTGAACGATTGACTCTTCGGGTACCATTTTCACATTCCCTTAAAGCAGGCATATTTGACTAAAATAAGAACTTTTTCATAATATATGGAACGTATAACCGCGAACAAGACGTTACGAGAAATTAATGTAAATTTATAAATTTTATCAGCATCCTTCTGGGCGTTACTTCCTAAGTTTAGAAGTTTATTCCAGCTCTCTATTTCCTTTGTTTAAAGTAACTTTTACCGTTGAACCGTTCCGTAAGACCTTTTATCGCCTGCAATATAATCGGGAATATTTTCGAGCAGGAACTAAAGGCAGACAGAAGAAGCGTCGCGCGTGTCTTTCTCACTTTGGAAACGAAGCGGGCTCGTAAACACACGTTCCTCGTGTACAAAGCGAACGTTATGTATCATTGCGGACTTTACGCCGGCATCCTTAATAAACCTTTGCCCGAGGCAGTCATTCCCGAAGTTTATGTCCGCTGCTTTCATGACGGAATCGCTCCCCCTACGCAGCCGTCGTCCGCGGAATTCACGCGACGCGGATCCACCTCCGCGTCTAAAAGCGATCCAACTTTACGCGACGCGCACCCTTAAACCATGCCCTTCGTTCGTAAATTTAACGTTACCTTGAACACCGCCGACAAAGCTCGCGCAAAATGATTATCAGAAAATAACGAGACCCAGCAATTAATCGACCCCTGGAAGAAATCAAGGAACATCGCCAAGAAACCCGTCACACCCCTTAAGGTGATATGAAAGAATCTTTCTATTTATTTAAAACGTCGAAATGCTTATAAAACTTCTCTCCAAATTGGGTGTACCGAATCATTTGAAACTTCAGCGCGTGGTTATAGAGACCCTAAAAAAGGACGCGATGCTTATGAAACTTCATTTTACAAATAAAACTATGTGTACCTGGTTCTAGTCTGGGATAAATACAAAATTTTTCGTTGAAAAATGGAAGTTCATTAGCATTACGTTCTTCCTTGGATCCTTCATAATCACGTACTGAAATTCAAAATTATTCGGTGCACTCTGTGTGAAGAAAAGTTTCATAAATATTTTGATGTTTTATATATAAAGAAAGACCCTTTCATATCACCTTAAAAACGTTCACCGTTGGTCCGATTCGCTTAAATTTACCAAATAAAGGATTAGAAAAGGTACATGTACGTTTATCAAACGATTCTTAGATTCGTACTCGCACTACGAGCTGTTTTGCACAGTATTGTCGAGGTTCCTTGTGGGAGAGAGAGAGAGCTGTTCAAGATCTATCATCAGCAAACGCCTGCAGCTTGGTGTATTACGTCCGTGTAAGGGAGGTTGTTGTTGTCTTTTTACAGGCAATTTCGATGTTATTAATATCACCTATATGTTATAAATACCTATATGCAGTCTAGATACCCACAATTTGCCCTCGATACGTACATTGGACGACATAAGCTCCCAGCTCGGCAGCGAGGTCGAAGGACACGGGCAGCCTTCCTTGAAGAATGTCCTGCTTGACCTGAAGGAAGAACTGGTACCTGCAAACAAACGTTCAGCTTACAGGACGGGCATCCTTCGCGGCAGCCTAACTTCCTATCGCACCCGTCGGCCTTGGACGTAATGACTGAAATAAAGAAATTACGAAGTGGACCCGCGGCCAAAGCAACCGCAGCTTTGCCTTTTCGACCTCATCTCGCGGTTTCGACCCTCCGCCCGTAGAGGGATGTCGGAAAGCCGAGAGGCTGCCCGCAATTCCTGGCAGGATCCGCGTCAACGTTTACGAGCTCGTCGCTATCGGCCCCTCGCGAACGATTTCGACCCCTACTCGTAAACTCGCTCGTATACTTGGCGGAGAGTGGACCTGCGCGAGTAAAACTGTTGAGAACGATCCCGCGGAAACTCAATCAACTCTTTCTGGTTTCAATCTAATCTGAATATGGCCTCCGCGAGTCTCGCAAAGATTGTTGCCGATAGCGAGACCTCGACAAAACGAAATGGTTTCACACGGTTTTCAACTTAACTTTTGAGGGGTCGCGTGAGCTGGAAGATATAAGTGATCGCGTGGGCGGGGCCAGTTACCCTACTGAAAAATATTCCCACTACTAGTCGTACTTTACTAGTATTAATTTCAGCAAGATATGTTGAAACTTAAAAGAAATTGCGAAAATAAATTTTCTTAATATTTTACAAATAAATAATACGACTATTAATGTTTAGATATGTAAGTAGTAAGTAAAGTAAGTAAAGTAAGTAAAGTAAGTAAAGTAAGTAAAGTAAGTAAAGTAAGTAAAGTAAGTAAAGTAAGTAAAGTAAGTAAAGCAAGTAAAGTAAGTAAAGTAAGTAAAATAACAATCGTCGCCAAGATCGTTACTGCTTTGCAGCACTTATGACTTTTCAACACACTAAGAAAAATGCGCGTACGCGCTCCACTACATTACTAGTCTATTCTCTCATTCGTGTTCTCATTCGTTTCGAGTATCTGACAACTCCGTCCAGAAACAATAATCTCAAATTTCGTTAAACTATACAAATATGAGATTTCGTTAACTCGTATAACACGTAAGGGTTAAAACGTTTTAATCGAAGCGAATTTAAAAGAAGACGAAAAATTATAAAAATAGTTGTCTATAGGATTATTATATTAAGATGACAAAGGTTTTAAAATGTTCCAAAATGGTGGATTCGCGATGGTTGCAATTTTTCTTTTCTTTTTTTTACGGTGTTCTTAATTTCAGGAGAATGGCGAGTTTGAAAAAAAACGTTAAGGTGGTTTTAGAAACTGAAAAGATTATTTAAAAACCGATGACATGATTTTATTATGGAAGAGAAATTTAGATTGTAGTAAAGAAGAGTCAATAGAAATCACTTTGTCGTTGCTTATTGCATTTTAATGGTTAACATCTTTCGACCAAATATTCAATTACCATCGGATCTTAAATAATCTTTTCAGGATTCTAAAACGACGTTAACTACTTGTTCCAGACTTACCGTTTTTCTGAAATCATAAACATCGTAAAAAAATATCAGAAATTTTCAACCTCCACAAGTTTGCCACGTTGAAACGTTTCAAACCATTTTTTTAATTTTAAACCCTCCGTTAAACATCAAAATAAAACAGCTCCGTAGGCAAATATTTCCTGTACCTCTTCCCTTTTAAACCCACTTTGATTAAAACGTATTATACAACCTACTAATCCCCTTAAGGTGAAGTGAAACCCCCTTCAAATCAGTCGATTCGAATACAACCCTTTTTTTAAGGGTAAAAGACCAAACTGTGCGAAACTTAGACACGTCACTCCTGATCATTTAAGAATTGTCCTGACACATTCAAAATTTGGATTTTTTTTTTTAATTTTATAACATAGCCCAGACAAGAACCAAAATGGCGTCAAGCTCTCATATTTCGATCAATATACAATTATCGAAGTCTCTGATATGAGAAACTAAAGGGTCAGGACAATTTTACGACAATTTAGAACACTTTGGTAATCGATAAACTCGCATTTGAACGGAATAAAGGCAAAAAAATGTTGTATGCGCTTGTATGCTAAAACGATGGGAATACGAGGTCTCGGAGTGAAAATTTAATTAACCTGGAAATCACAGATGGCACAGGGGGTTTCTCTGCAGTCAATTAGGGCCCCACAAAGCACGAATCCAAAGGATTTCTGGAGTTTTACTTCGATTTCTTGATATTTATTGTACGAAAACGACAGGTGGAGTATGCCAATTGGTACAATACCCAATATAATTCGACACAGCTGTCAATATAAAAACATAATAACGTCGGCAACGTAGGCATTTAGAAGAATCTTCTTTATTGACGTCGATCAAGTTCCTCGACGTGTTTCATTTCACCTTAACGGTTTCTTTCCTGTTTGAAAGAAACGTGATCGAATAGTTTCAATGTTCCTCAATCTCGAAGCCAAAGAGCACAATCTTCCGAAAGATGTTCCCCATAACTGGTTCGGAAAATGCGAAGTAATCGAACGCTGTAGTTCTACGAATGCGAAAAAATAGCTCGAACTATTACGGAAATTGGAATGGAACTGTACATTCGCTTAAGGTGGTTTTGCGCGTGTTTTCGCGGAAAAGGAAACGAGTAAGAGCTAGATTATATCAAGATCAGGACAATCCCGTGAGCAAAGTAAGTAGGATGGTTCTTTGCCGAGATTACCTCGCTTGGCGATGCTCCATTTCTTGAGATACGTAATTTAGCACACAAGACGATCGACTTGAATTGACCGTGGCCGGTTTAGGGATTACTCGGTGCACATCCGGTGCAGGGACTCGCAAAAAAGTAGCGGCCGATCTGGAAGATAGCAACGTCTACTTCAAGGACGCCCCAGCGAAGAGTGAAAACGGAGGGAAAAACTTGGATGAAGTGTAATGCCTATAAGGAATCGGGGCACACGCGGAGGGAATGCCCAAAAAAGAGGCCGATCAGTCGCTTCGAGTGTGGAAAACCGGAATATATCTGTCAAGGGAGCGTTCGATTAAAGCGAAAACGATGGCCTGCGGCCAGGATTAATAGTTACCGGCGCCACGCCGATGTACGTAACAGATAACACGTCTGCAAAATATCTCAGGAATGTACTCATAAATGAAAACACTGTGTACAGTGTTACCTCGACCTAGGCAATCGTTCCGCGGCGTTGAACGAGGGCTGGAGAATTGCTGTTGCAGTAACATCAGCGAGATTTTCGAAGGGACGTGGCAATTGTTGGGCTCGGTAACGACTACAGCTACCATTAACCGATAATTAAATGAATGAATCACCAAGGAACATCGTTTCAATTATAGAGAGGCATCTTCGATCGATATACATGTATACGTAGATACCGATTTCACGTAAATATATCGAGTTGATTGCCACATATTCATAGATTAATGTAAATGGTGAACTAAGGTATAAGTCAACTAGTTTTACTTTAGAAAATGTAAAACACAAAATCCCTGATAATCTTGATCTGGTAGTTGAAGTAGCCTTAATCCAAGAGGAAATTGACACGAGACTTGTCAGCAAAGATAACGATGTGCCGAGGTTAAGAAAATTAATGCAGAATCTCGTGTCATGTATCAAATGTGAAATAAACTAAGCCGACAAGGCTATGATAAGAATCATCCTAAGCTCCCAGCTAAGAATCTATTATCAACCTTAACGGTTGTCCTTCCGCAAGGGAAAGAACAAGTGGCTATGCGAAGGACACGATCGAAAAAGTCAAGGCCGAAAGAGTCATCGAACCTCACGCAATATCATTTGCTAGCTCAATGCTTTTACTATTATCAGCGAAAGTGAACGGAGAAATATGCTTAAAACATTCCTCCATGAATCCATTCTCTTAGCCGGTTGCTTCAAAATGTACTTGCACCGGATTTGGCAGACGAGAGTACTGTTTTGCACGTAAGGTAAGATTTCGGTGGTGTAAAACCGGATCTACCGGAAGTGGAGAGAAACCAAAATCCAGTAATATTATACGATTGACTTGTCCGGCTTGAAGTACTCGCCTTGAGGCCCTCGCACTCTATCTTATCACGGATTAAAAAAAGTCAGACAAACTAATTTCCACGACGACACGTACATACATTCTACAATTTTTGCCACGTGCTTTTCGTATGGAAACCTTCTTTTACGTGAAACTTCCTATGTAACACTAGGGTGAGTTCGTACGTCAATTAATAGGAGCGTAACATAAAGTGAAACACTTATTGTATTTTACCTTTCTAACAGTACATTACTATTTAAATTCATTTCTATGCGTTAGGACTGAGACAATTTGCACAAGCATTTTCGTTACTATTAAAGCGTTATTCTTTCAGTTAGTTATTGACATTTAATGTGAAATAAAAATAAAAATTGGTGCAGGCTCGCCATGCGTGCTCGAAGTAAAACTTCTAAACGAAAGTAAATTATGTGACATAATTGATTCTTTGATTGCGAAGGGCGTATATAAACGTCCAACGTTTGTTTCTCTATTGTACGAATGCTTTCAAGAATTTCGCCCGATTGTCGAAAGAGCTTAAAAGGAAAAGGGTTAATTATTCTTCCTCAAAATGCCCTTACGCGTTCGGTACTGGTTGTTTCAGGCATACTTATTTTTATTAGACCGTCTATTTTATGTATATAACTTTAAACGTAAATAATTAACTGACAGAACAAAGATGAATGTAAATAAAAATTAACCGTAAAACATAACACGGATCAACACACTAACGAAAACGTTAACGCAAAATATCTCAATATTAGCCCAGGCAACCCATGAAGTGGAATATACGTAAATTAATCATCTAAATTAGGTCTATAGATATAACAAATGTATATCGTCTATCATCTACCTAAAAAAAATATCTAAAGGATATATATAAATATCTATGTCTATTGCAGATGAAAATTATATATCCATGATTGATCTACAAATATCTACTTATTTCTTGACGCATACAAATATAGTAGCTCTAGCAGACATCTACCAAAGGTTAATCAACATCGTTGCTAACACGTGTACAAAAATAAAAATGTAACCTAACATTTTTCATATATACTTAATGTTCATATCTAAATTCCAACTTGATAAAACTGTTAATTTCGTCCATATTCTGATTTTTCATTTACTTCCTCTTTGGTTGGTAACCATACATCATGATTTTTTACCACTGTGTCAATTATGATGTATCACCACGCACCGTATGAAGTATAATATACTTATAGTGAACGTACAAATTAGGGCATAAGTATAAAAAACTTACGTTATCTATGGTATGCATAATAAAAATATCCCGTGAATATATATGTAAATCTTTTTTACACTTATATTTTCAGTACATATATTATAGAAGTGTAGATAACCCGTATAAAAATATAAACTAATTGAAAACGTTAAATTGATAGTTTATATTCAGCTTTCACAACTTATAAAAATGTAGTTATTCTGTAAAGAATTGTGCACATTTAAATGAAATATCTTGAAATAATACTCATAAAATTCAAGCACTTTTAGTATATGAGGTTGTACTAAAATTATCAGTTTAGTATCTTAAAAGTGAATCGGTATACATTTATTATACACTTTTAAATAAAACGATGATTTTATAACATAATGTTACAGTTTTTTAAATAACTTAATTTTACAATTACTTACAAGTTTTCTTTCAAGAATAAGTTTACGACAAGATGCAATAAGTATCTTTAGCACCGATCGAGAAGTACCGGAGTAGTTTTCATAACTCCGAAAAATATTTATTCCTTCATAGGCTTTGGTAGCATCATAGCGTTCCTGCTTCCTACCTGGGAGGTCCGGGTTCAAATCCCGACAATTGCAAGAAATTTTTCTGTATCAAAAACAGCAAAATTTATCTGCATATCTGTACTGAACAACTTCTCGAACAGACTCTGCTCCAAAAGTGTTATGAATTTAATTTTTTTTATAAATACGTATGAATATCTATAGACCATCTATTGTAGACATCTACGATGTATGTATATATAACGTACCATGTCCGGACATCTAGCCTTTGAGTGTATCTAAAATAGAGTTCATAGATATCTATATATATCTTACATACGTTCAATAAACATTTATATACGATTAATTTACGGTTATTCCACGTTCCGCGGCGCCTGGGAACCCACAAAAATAAATGCAAATATAATAGCGAACTGTAGAAATAAATTTAACGACAATCGTGTCAACACTAAAACAAATCCGAATGCAAATAATAATTTACTGAGAAGATAGAATTGCAACGACATACCAACAATAATTCTCAGCGATTTTAATGCAAACTTCGGCAAACCAGAAGCATAGTCGTTGATTGTCCTCTTAGAAAATGAGTCGCATATTAATAACATTAACGAACACTTTTACACAAATCGTGTTATTACGAAAATACAAAGATGAATGTAAATAATATTTACGATGAACGTAAATTCACTTTCCAAAACGGACCCCCGTCATAACATGCGAATTTACCCCTACCACTGTGCCACGAGAAGTTCCACTTAAAAAAAAGAAAACAAAAGAAGTTTCACTCCGTGGGGACGGCCACGCACCCATTTGTCTCGTAGCTGGATAATTTCTCGAATTGCTGGAATCGCGGCGAAGGGTCGTTCCTGGATTCGCTGGTCGTTCGAAGGGTCGAGCTGCCCGTCGCGGTCGAGGCCAAGGAGTGGATCATTTTCTCGGGTCGCTTTGACTTACGGCGGGATTTCGGCAGCGCGATCGTAAAACCAGCCCAGACGGAAGTCGAGCGAGAGGGCGAAATTCCGCCGGTACGTGCGGTCGGCTCGTATAACGCAAAGCCCGGGCCGCGATAGCCCGGTATCTCCCGGGCCGAGGGGGCCTCTTCATCTTCTGCGGACGGCCGTGTAATTTTATTCCGTTGCCCTGCACGCTCCCCGCCAATGGTAGTGGCCTCGAAAATGGTAGATTTTAAGCCGCGGAATGTCGACGGTCTATAATTTTCATTTTCGGATTGGTAATTGGTGCGCTCGGTTAATTGCTACGGTTCCGTCCTCCGGGGCCGAAGAAAGAGCTTAAGGCCAAACAGATAACGCGGTAAGCCTGGCTAAGGGCGGCTCAGAGAGGCAAGGGAGGTGAAACGGGGGCTAAGGCTAAAGGAGAGAAGAGACGAGAGACGTTACCGATTCTGACAACCACCGGAACGATGAACGTGCCCCGTCCGCGAGAGCCTCGTCGATGCCAGCACCCCGGGATAAAAGATGGCGGCATTAGCATACAGATTGAGTTCGCTCGTCTCTGGACGTTATTTCTTGCGACTTGTCCACTAAAAGCGGTAGGAGCACCAACGGCCCTAGAGACGCCTTTCCTCCGGCTTTTCCGCTCCTTGCCGCCCTTTCCGCGGTCTTACTCGATACGAGGACCCTTCTTCAGCGGCCATTGATCGGTTCTAGGACCGCCTTTACCTCGGGACGGAATCGGAGCTAGAAAGCTCCGAGATACGTGCCTCGTGAACAATGGTCTCGCGAGGGGTACCATTCTCCCGCGGCCGTTGCATTCCGCGTATCGGTATTTATTATCGGAGGGAATATCGCGAGAAACTTGACGCCTATCGCAGGAAGAAGAGGCAGAAACGCTAGAAGGAGCTTCTAGGAGGGCGTCTACGTCGGGAACGCGGATTCTTCGGAGGGAGTCGGGTTACACGGTTTCGTTTATGTGCATTTGCTTACTCCTGGATATGCGGTCAACTTGATACAAAATAGGGATACTTAATTGTCCAATGGACCGATAGCGGTAAGTGATGTCGGCTGTAATTTCACGCTAAGTTTACGCGGATAGTACGGACAGGCGTGAACCGTGATATCAACGCGCGCGCGGTGTCGGCAGTTCCCTTGTCAATTTATTACTTACCTACCTGTGGCGCGATACCGCTTTGTAATAAAGGATACAAATTTATTAGGCTCCGGGATTCATGAATTAGTTCCCAGCGTTACGTGCAGGAAACGGTTACACGGCGCCGTCTTGTAAGATTTACCGTAGGATTGTTTTTAAATCTCGACGTTTTATAGAGGTACCTGCCGCAGAGAGGAACCGCTTCCAGCGGGCCGCGGTAAATTGATTGTAATAATTTCTCGTAATGTATCAAATTCTCTACATTGCTCGCGGGTAACCATAAACCTTCTTACCTCGTAATCTCTTCGATGAGTTTGCAGGGGTCGGCTGCGTAGAACTTGACTCCAAAGTACAGGGTGTGAGTGTCCGGACTGGGGTCTCCCTTCTGGACTTTGAGCTGCTTGCCGATCTTCTTGCTGGGATCCAGCCATTGCTGGGGATGGATATTCAAGGATTATTTGCGATTCGTTTCGAACTTCCGGTCGATTCGGACATTCGCCATAACGACTCGACCCTCGGGCAAACCGGAAATTACGAGGGTAAGACATTTCCCCTTGATAATAATTTCACTCCCGTTTACCCCCCGGCTGATACATCATGGGACGACACGGTTACTCGTGTATTTCACCAAATGAATGGGCGTCGGCGATCAAACCTTCGTATCGTTCAGGTGAGTTAGTACTGGCACTTCTTCGCAAATAAATGGGAACAGATTTTCTGGTAATCCTGGTCGAAACGTCACGTTTGAAAGTAAGAGGGCTCATATCTATTAACGGGGCTTAAACTAACCATTTTGCACACAGGTACCTGCTGATACAATTATTTATCATTTTATATAAAAATATTATTGACCTATGACACGTTGTAAAGAACTGTATTTTTTGTTGTACGTCCTTGTTTGTCATATGTTTTCAGGCAGATAAAACACTCCAATGTATTGAGAGTTTAGAAGAATAATCATGCCGAGTGCCTGCTCAAAAATTATCATTTTCATTACTTTCTGAAAAAATAATAATATGCTCTCAGAAGTATAGTTAATAACACCCTGAAACTGTATTAACATGTATTTTATTTCTTCTTGACCTTATCAGAAAAACGGGTATTTTTCCTCTGCCAATATGAGCTCCCTTGATTAAAATATTTCTAGATAAAAAGAAGACAAATGGCGATGCGTCCATCTTACTGCGATTTAGGATATGAATTCCGAAACCACAAACGATTCGGAAATAGTGAAAATCCTGGTCGGCATCACTCACCGTCTGATTCTCGTGGTCGAGATATCGCAGTCCAAAGTACGCGGTCTCCAAGAGATTGAGATGCCTGAAGACCCTGTCGAGAAGTTCCTGGCCCAGATTGGAGCTCTGCAAAAAGGAGGCAAAACGTCGGTAACGTCTGTGTTGGGGCGAACAGGTGCGCACTGGCACCCGTCTTACGTCTTAAGGGATTGGCGCCGATTGAAGCCGATCGGCGACCGGGATCGATCCGATGATCGGCAAGATCGCGAGGAGCGATAAGTGGGCGTACTTTGGCTACCGATAGAGGTAATCGCACCCCGGAGTGGAAGTCCGCGCCCACTTTAAGGTGCGGATCTCTTCCTCTCGGATGGTGCTCCTTGCTCTCTGGATAATCACCGATGTGCCAAGCGATAGTCTCAAATTAGCCGATTAGCTTTCCGAGATCTTGAATTCCTAGGTTTCCGAGATCGAGATCCCGAGATCTCGGTTCCTAAGTTAGAGGGTCGAGATCATAATTGACTTTCAGATTCCATTTCGACTTGATCCTGACGTTTGTCGCGATGCTCGTTGCCTCTTAAATGGGTGAGTAACTTGTGAATTGCGTTTTACTCAAAGTGAGTTTAAAAGAGCGTAATGAGGTGTAGGGAATATTTGCTTACGGGACTATTTTACTTGATGTTTTACGGGGACTTTAAGATAATACAGTTTTCAAATGCTTCTAAATGGCGGACTTGCGTAGGCTGAAAGTTTCTGATTTCTCTTTCAGGACGTAAATGATTATTTAAAAACTAATGCCACAGTTTCTCGATGAACAATTGATTCAGAATCTCGCAAAATAAGACGATAGAAATTACTTTTTTATTGCCTTTTGCCACCTTACCTGTCAACATTTTGTAGAAAATATTTTATTAAAAATCTGTACTATCGGATCTTAAACAATTTTTTCTTGATCCCAAAACCACGTTAACTTTTTTTTTGAGACTTCCCGTTCTTCCGAAATGTACACCGTGAACAAAAAATCAGATACTTTCAGTCTCCGACTGACCGTCATTTTTCAACTTTTTAAAACCCTGTTCATCTTCAATTCTCCTTAACCCTTTCATTACGGCAGTCCGCTCCACCAGACAACCACCACTGAAGGCGACACTGCGCCGAAAGTGTTTACATTGAATGTCGACAATATTCGGTGTTCGAACTTACGTCTTCCACCTGAATAACGCCTTCTTAACATCCTTTTCTATGTACACTTTTCTAAGTGTTAAATAACACCTGTTTTGTCGTATTATTCCATTGTTAAATTTCCAAATAATAGTCTAACCTTAAACTTTTAAGAAATTAAAGTTGTCCCAATAGCTGGTCTTCTCGTCTCGTCTCGATGGCCAAAATGTGTTACGTATGTTCAAAATGTACTGTTAGCATGATTCATCCAATACAGATCAATACGATCAAAAGATACTCTACAGATATGGCAGAATTTGTTACAGACTAAAGTCGGTACTCGTACACAAAGGTCGTCACATGGGTGCCGATTATAGTCGGCGCTGGTACACACTGGTCGTCGCGCGGATGCCGTCTAGAGTCAGCTATCGTACACACAGGTCGTCGCTCGAATGCCGACTATAGTCGGAGCTCGTAACAAAAGGGTTAAAACATGAAATGAAACAACCTGTAAGCAATTATGTATGTTCTATATCCTTTCGTTCTCTTTTAAAATCACTTTAAAATGCATTTCAGAACCTACTAACCCCCTTAAACGAGCTCCAAAGTACCCCGTGATCTTAAGTTTTCCGAAGGACTACCTTTCGTCGACTTCCCTAATTTCCAAGTGCACGAGTTCAGGGTTCGAATCAGTTCACTACCCCTGCCGAGATCGTAATCGGCGACTTCCGATTCTCACTCGGTCTTGGCGAACCGTGAAGCCCGTTTGTTACCCCCATGGGAACCTAACGGGGGACCGTGCGTGTCCGGGGAAGGGAACGATTCGCGGGAACGCGGGAACCCGGCAATCCGAGAACTAGTGGACGCATAATGCGACGTACATGGGACGCGCACTGTTCACGGGGTGCGCGCGATACAAATAACCAACGCGCGGAAACGGGTAGGAGCGCGACTTCACCTCCGCCTTTACGCGCCCCGGGTAATTAGCTCCCGATGACGGCCTACGGCTCCGTTTTAAGTGACCTTCCTCGTTACTAAGGCTCTTTTCGGTACGCCAGGGACGATCCGGTAATTGCTTCCTTTAACGACCTCCTTCCGCGGGCCGGAAAGGAAACGCGAAGACTTCTCTCTTCCTGCCCTTGCGAACGGCCGACGGGCCGCGGAGAAAGCGGCGACGATTCGGTCAACTTTTCATACCGACCGAGACGAAACGGAGGACAAGAAGACTTCAGCATAATTAGCCCGTGTACCCATTCGTATGGAAGTCCAACCCTTTGCGGTCGCGAAATCGGCGAATACTCGGTTCTCGACCGCACAGACTCGAGATGAGTATAATTAAGGACACGCGGAACGACCGATAAGTCTTCAGCTTTATAACTAGACGCGTAATGTGTATTTCTAAGCTTCGATATCCGACGAGGAGGCTTCGGTTAACCCTGAACAATGGTAATAATTTACGATTTCCACCATTTGCACTTATAGTCGTAAGAAAGGTTCTTTCAGGATGCGGTGCTCCAAATTTTTCTGATTTTTTCTCAAATGATTGTAATTCGATCTTAAAATAACGTTAAAGTGCAGACCGAGCAGTCTCATTTATGAAACTATTCTCCAACTGAGTGTACCAAATCGCTTGAAATTTTGCCACGTAAATATGGAGTCCGTAAGAAAGGTCCTGATACTCATGGAAATTCATTTCTTTAAATTTAATTATAAATATTTTTTGTTTTTGTGTAAGGAATGAAATTTCATAGGCATCGGGACCTTGGTAGGGCCTCTGTATTCACGTGGTAAGATTTCAGACGATTCGGTACCCCCACTTTGGAGAAAAGTCTCATAACTGAGGCCCCTCGGACGACCCTGTTGTAGCATCCTTACCGTCGTTCGCTGCGTAATTAATGGTAGAGTTCAAGATCTAATTCCGTCGTGATTTCAGCTCTCTGGCTCCAGTTTGTTACTCGTTTGTTAGTCGGTGGAAACTATGAAAACAATGGACCGGGCTGCGTCGAAAGCTCCGACCACTTGGGCAAGGCTTGCGCGATCAGATCGTCGAAATTATGGATCCTCGCTCGTAGACGCAGCGAGTTTATCTATTAAAACTGGATAGAAAATGGCGAGAGAGGTGTACCCATTTCCGTGAGTCATACGGCCGTATCGCACCCCGGTTCGCACGAAGCGGACCAACGGCAACTTCGCCGCTCGCCGTTCTCGGGACGCAGTGATTAACGACGAGGATTATTGTACCGCAACTAGAAACGTAAACTCCAAGTAACCGATCGGACCGATCCGCCCCTTCGACGGTTCGCTGATTTCTCGCGGTTTTTCTTCGAGGGTCGGCGGGCCAGAGACCGGGAAGATGAAAAAGCTCTGGCCGTGGGGCTACATGTGGATCGGTCTTGAAATTTATTACGGGCGTTGAGCCTATCTACCCTCGGAATCTATCCTCGCACACCTGACTTTTACCTCCGAGTACGACACCTTTTCGCTCGCTTCGAGACTTCTTCTTCGAAGCCTCTAGGAGGGAACAAGAGCCAAAAGAGTCCCTACAAGAGGAATTTTACGCGAAATCGTCGTCAAAACGTGACTCACGCACGATTTTTCATGTGAAACTTCTTATGAGACGGTCGTAGGTGTAAATTCGTATGTTACGGAATAGACTCGCTTCGAAGAGTGATACGCTTTTTCGTATATTTTTAACGGAGAATTACGTCTTTGGTCAGAATGCATATGGGGTTCCAGCTCGCAAAAATCCGTGTGCGAGCGTAAAGAAAAATCCATAATCCGCATATGCCTGAATTGTTCACGACTCAAAGAATTGCAAAATTAAACAATGAATTGTTTTAAAGGGAGAGAATAGTTCTATACAAATTAATAGCAAGTTATTATTTAAACCGTTCAACATTTCCCACCATGTAATTCTATGTGCAACGTTAACAGCGGTTCTTCCCAGAAGATCAAACTCTCGCTCTTATTTTCTGTTTCTATTTCTCCATTAATTACTATTTGTATTCATTTTTGTGTTTTAGTATTGGCACAATTTTCGTAAATTTTATACTCTTACATATCACTCCTATTTACACTCATCTTTTTGTGTTTGCACTGAGACAATTTGCGTCAATACTTTCGTTTTTGCTAGTGAGTTATTCCACCAGTTAATTACTAACATTTTACGTGAAATAAAAATAATACAAATAAAAACCAAAAGAAAGTATGCCCGAAACAATTACCGAATGTCTAAGGGCAATTCGTGAAATAATAACGGAAGAGAATTACTAACATCCAGTAATTCTTTTTAACTTGAGAGTTTCACTTCCAACACGCGGGGTAGCCACGCACCGCTTTATTATTTTATTTAATAAACGGTTAAACTAATTAGACAGTTAACTGATAAAGGTGTGAAGGTAACGCTGTTTAATGAATAATTTCATATTTGCTCTTTTCTAAATAAATCATCGCCTTCGCCCCAAGCAAGTTCTTCCTTGCGAGGAAGTGGGCGATGGAAGATATATCGAATGGAACCAATCTGATTCGTTGTTAGCGAAAGTTAAGCAAATGATATAATACTCGCGCATTGATACCGCTGTCTCGTATACCTGTCCAAGAACAGCACGCGGTCGCAAATATAGTCGTTTGAAGCGAATTCAAGGGAGGTGAGTAATACGGACTGCCACGTGGTTTTCTTAATAAGGCGGCCTCTGGTCGGAGCAGCGAATAAGTTAAGAGACGTCAACGTCCGGCAATTGACGAGAGAGCGGTCGAGATCGAAATAAAATGACTCATACATCATTTTTAAAAATTGAATCGTTTGTCGTTCACTAATCAGACGTCAATCTGAATTCGTTGATAAAAATTAAGACATATCGATAAACGCTGAGACCGACTAGAGATCTCTGGATAGCTACTCAGGTAAACGTCATCAAAAATACATTGCGTAACAATAATCGTAAGCATAATGGTAAGAATTAGCAAAT